AATAAATTGCAGAGAACGCTACTATAACAATTAAGCAGTTAAAATGCTAGGAATTTAAACACGACAAAAACGCTAGCTAAAGGCAAATTACATACTAAAAGTGAAAGGAATACATAAAAAATACTAAAAGTTTGCGGATTGCAGAAAACAAAAACGCACGAAAGCACGTTGTTTAGATGAAGAACACGTGCACATTTTTTGTTCAGAAAAGCTTTGATTAATTTTGATACGATGAAACAGTGGCAGGAATCGGATTAAGTGGTACTTGACATGAATTGTACCCGGCTCAGTAAAGATACATCAATACGATTTTATATGATCATATGTTTTGTCAAAGCCGATAGCAAACGAAACAATACGAAAGTTTATTGATTTTCCATGAAAACAGTAATTAATGACAGTGTTTCAAAAGTCAAAGGTTTTGGTCGATATGGGACAAATTGGAGAATTGACTGCCTGGCAGTTGAAGTAGTGATTACCTAATGCTGGCACTTTATTGGATTGTGGGACTGTCTCCATTCCAACACGACAATATTGGATGAAGTTTTCATAGATTAAGTCATGCATCTAAAATTGTTAGAATAAAAGTATGTCTATATAGAAAACAATAAAATTCTAATATTATGGAATTTTCTGTTTAAACTTTTGCTGGATAAAGATAAGTCTTTTAAAATTCAAAAGATTCAGTGAAAAGAGTGTTTAATATTCAAGATTATCATTTTTGTTATTACGATTTGTAAAAAAAAAATGGGCTAAGAGACAGCAGTGTTTACCGATGCCAGTTGGACATATGTATAGTCTTTATATATGTGCTGAAACTTATTGATCAAAGTTTACTTTACGATTTTCTCTGCAACGTAAAAGACTCACTAGAATGTTTGAAGAGGAGTTACTTATATCAGCTTAGCATTGATTGGTCTTTGATGAGTATTTTTTATACCACCTGGTGCATTTTTCATTAACCTATATCTTAGCATTACAAGATTTTCATCCGAATAACGCACGGAACCGGATAGCCGCCGGAAGTTGATAAACAGGAGAAATGTGCGCCTGTGTTGACATTATAATTAATGTAAATTGCGTTATAATTATAACAAATTGACCTCATACTGTGGTACGATTGGAAAATATTGAAATTCAATTATTTCAAATCTCGGTCTAAGAACGCCGCTTGAAGGAGAAAGATGCCGATATGAAAATACCCGTTATATGGTTTTATTAGCCTCTGACTTTAATGTTAGCATAGGCTAAATAGAATCTGATCGCATTCAAGTGTGTTTGTATTACATTTGTGTTTGCCTATTGGCCTTAATGGTCAATTGTTTGAAGATATTATTAAAACAATTGAGATAGAGTTATCCAAATGTTTGTAGTAAACACGCCGGGTGAACAGAAAAAATGCAAATAATTTCATTTAAGAATATCAGAGGAAAGTTTAAGAGGATTGTATTATGTAATTTTTACTAACTTGGTAAAAAGGCTAATTAGTATTCATTAAAATCTAAACTTTAAATAATAATCATAATGCTGCTATTAGCCTAGTTACATGTGAGAATAATACATATTTTAAGACAAAGATAGATTTTGTTGTAAAATATATACTAAAAGAGGTGACAGTGACATAAAACATGAACAGAGCACGTGTACCACGGCAGCACAGACGCTTCTCACTTCCAACGCCATCGACACTGTCACCTTTCGGATTAACTCGGTCATTTCCGGAAGGATCAGATATATTCCAAAAGGCGTTCGAAGATTTGTGTATTAATGAACCTAATCACGTTCCAGCGAAATCTGATAATGATCTTGGATTTAACGGTCTGACTAACATCCAAGAAGGCAATGAAAGTGACATTGCTGAGTCAGAAGAAGACGAGTCTACGGCAGATGGCGCCACGGTGCCTAGCAGACGACATAGTTCGCCATCTTGTTTTCGTGAACAATTAGATTTGGACTTGCCACAGAAATCGAAACAGGATCAACATAAAGAAAAGGAATCAATTTTAAAAACACATAACAAAATACGGAAGGAATATTTCATGAAACATGGGCATTTTCCAGTTTCAAACCCAGTGAACCAGACTGCTAAGCAACGTCCGCTATCTTACCATAAAGACATAACGAAACCGAATTTGGCGTTTGGTACAAAGATTCCAAAACAGAGTTCAGCTCGATGAATGGCTGTTATTTTACTTTTTTTAGTTCTTTAGGTTATTGATTACATTTTTGCTCAGTGTCTCTTTTATGTGATAAGCACCGGATGCTGCTTTATATGTTGTGACAATGTGATGACAATTAATTGAACAGGAAAATAAAACTTGAACAGATTCTATATAAAACTTGCGACAATAAAGACATTTGTAAAATGATAGGAAATATTGTGATCGTTATTTTATTAGTTTAAAATTGAATTGATCAAAAGTTCATGTTTTATCATGTTAATATTTTTATTAAGCTAAAGATTGTGCCTGTTTTCACTGCGGTGATTACAGCCGATATATGATCATTTATCGATAGATTACATCCAGTGATAATGCGGAGTGGTGCAATGAAATGACAAAATAACAAATTGAATCATTTGTGAAAAATGCAATAAAATGCGAAGATAAATGATGTCAGTATATAGTACGTATAAATCTTGTTTGTTATTTTTGCAGAAAAGGCAGAAAAAGAATTCGTGTAAACTTGATTAGAATATGATAACAGAAACATTTAAATCGAGAAAAAGTAAAGGTTACCGATTATTATTATTTTTTTTGTTACTTATCTTTTATATGAATTTGATGTTTTGTTCACTTCACAGGACAATAAGCATGCGCAAAGTTTAAATAAATTCTATACTACAGCTTTTTGCTATGAAAAGTATAGCAAATGTCTTTGGTGAATACCCTTTTAATAATATCAGCTTAGTCCATTCCAAACAGAAATGCACGTATTTCACGTGTAAAATAAATTACACAATATAATCTAATTACAAATTATAACTAATTGCATGACTATAACAAATTTTATATATTTGTAATCATCTATGCTCTGGGTCTAAAAGTTCCTAAACAAGTCTAAACAATAAATCGTGTAGTTTCAGATATGATTAAGGCCCCTAAATGCGTTTTCTTGTCTATACAATATGAATATACAAGATGGATACAATATGCACCGAGATCTCTTTAAAGACGTCCCGTGCTAGAAATGGCTATTGAGCCACATTGGAACGGGACCTTTTTAACCTAATGGCCGTGATTAAGAAAAAACTGAAGCAGAAGTCCTTAATGCAATATTACATGAATTAATGTCACGTACATGTAGATTAAACAAAAATATTTAAATGTTCCTATATATGTCTATGTTAAATAAGCGAACCCCGTGGCGTGGATGTTTTTTACCTGGAACATGATTTATATTCTTTTTGTAGAGGACCACAAAGCGATGTTACTGTAACAATCAACCAAGTCGGTATGGAACCAATCTTATTCCCAGAGTGTTTTAAATATAAATTCTGCACTAGGCAATGTTACATATAGTAAATGTCTAAGCTCTACTGAAGACGGAGAGGTTTTATTTCACTTTTTTATCAACCAGATGATCCAAAGACATGACCAATTTTATCCACAGGGGATGATCACAAGGTGTTGCTACATATCAAGTATTTTAACTCTGGGTATTGAAGTTTCTAAGCAGAATTTAAATCAAAGCACAGAAGGCGTTGAATTTATCTGGGTCTCAGAACGTCAGAAAGGTGATCTATCTTTAGCTCTTATGACCTATTTATGCAAAATATTGGAACAATTAACATAACTTTTTGTAGAGAGTCGCCATAGAATTATCCTCTAAAAGTCTTAGATAAGCAGGATTTTCATTGGTCATCATATAGTGTGTGCTGGTTTCAGACCGGTCAGATAACTAAGATCTGCGTTTAATAATAAATTCTTAACGTTGGACCCAGAACGACGTTAATTTTGACAAACCACACCAAAGAGTTTAAGTAATTTCAACAAACCTGCATACAACACATCTTGACTTTCTGTAAATAAAAACGTTGTTTTAACGTGACCTTCACTTTTGACCTAATTATTAAAAAAACGAGAAGGGTCATGTACTGGCTATGAGCGATGTTTCTATATGTACTTAAGGTCATGTATAAAGGTGGAAGCATACTGTGATGGAGAGTGACCCGTCCGTCAGTACATTCTGTATTCCTTGTTCGATAAATATCTTGAGCAGGTTTGTTACTCGTTAAAAACATTTCCCATTGCCATTAGATGACCTTTAGGGATTTTGAGGTCATTAAGTTAAAGGTCAAATTTTGTGTAAAATCTTGACTGAAGCAATAAGCCTAAATTTGTGTAGCTTTGTACGGACATCGGACTTTGCAAACGACCAGTCGTTGATCGCTATAGATCCCAAGGCCATTAGGACAAAGGCCAATGTCACATTGACACTCTATTATCGTTGTCCGATCTATGTAACTCAGTAACTGGTAAGAAAGAATTAAGCCATGGCAGAGACAATGCCAATGACATTCTGTCCCACTAATAATCTACCACTACTAGTATTCAATAAGTAAAATCTCCTCAGTCATATGTTTGTGAAATTTATTAGTTGCAATACTATTACTATATATACATGCATATATATTTTACTTACTAGTATTCATGTAACACTGACTTTAATGAAATATGCCTAGGTTTGAAAATATTCCAATTTGACAGGCAAAAGAAGTGGGAGCATGTCCTATTGACACACATTTCAAATATTACACCATCGAGGCAAGTGTACAGATGTGATCAAGGATGTCTTTTTCTACTTTACAAAACGGGTTTTTATCAGTTACTTCGTTGAAGTTTGTCAATCCCATCTTCTAGGCCCTTTCCATCAAACTTTGGATAATAATAATTGCCGAGAAGTTCCGATTTGAAGTTTGTTTTGGGATAGGACAGATTATAATCGTCTTCTTTCCTGTATTTGATGTAGAAATGAATTCATGATGATAATAAACTGAATTTGCAATATTTCCTTTATTTCTCAAACTTATATTTACAAATAAATATTTCAACATTAGTATTTATAATACAAAACAATCAACATAAAAACAAAACACTTCAAGGCACAAGTCTTTGCAACAGTTGAACCTGTTTAAAAGACCATATTAGGTCTAAACAAACAATACAGTCAAACATGTTTAAAGAACCATCATTAAACATTAAAAATATCATGTCTAAACAAAGAATAGACATCTTTAAAGATACTGTCTGTGTTATTTTTATGTTAAAAGTATATATTAAATGTCTCCTGTTTTTAATCTGGACATACCCAATATTATTTGTTCGGGGTCTCAAGATAACAACAGTAAATATAGGTAGCTGACAATATCAAGTCAAGTCACATGGCATTGATATTTTACATGGCCTTTTACCAATAAAGCTGCTCATTTTGTGAATTGGATTTTAATGGAACAGTCCATTTGAAATTTAAGGGATTTTAATAATAAGAGACAAAATTGAACTGGAAGCAACCATGAGTATTGTCAGTCTTAAAAAATGTAGATACACCTGTCAATATACTAATGGTATAGCCCAACCACTTTTGGTTCAAGAAGGGTAAGAGTTACATCTGTGTATGACAAAGGGTCCATAAATTTGCAAAAAATTGTTAAAATATTGTCCAAAGTCATTCTAAAGAAAGATTAAAACATGTCATTCTAAAAACATTAACAGTGCCTCAGTTCTTAAAGTTTAAACAAAGAACGATGGCACACAAAAATTAAATTTGGAGGTTAAGTCTACTTACATTAGAAGTTTTGATAAATGAATCAGACTGAATACAAGTAATGAATGTTTAACACAAACAAATAACATTTTGATGGACTGAACACATCTTAAGTCAAATGGAAATATCAGTGATAAACTGGTTGAAAAAAATGAACAGAAAACTTTTATTTTAGCAGAAGGTAGTGAAAATTTTCAAAATTTGAAAAGAACATTTGTCTAACATGCTTCTATGGAAACGTTATAAAGAAATATGACACAGATAAACATAACATGAGCAGGGTTTCAGTATCTATAGACATTTAACATTTTCTGATAAAAAATCCTAGTGGAAAACAAATTTCCCATTATATAACCCTGGTGGAAAAACATTCTCCCATATATAATAGTGGTGGTAAAACATTTTCCCATATATAACCCTGGTGGTAAAACATTTTCCCATATATAACCTTGGTGGTAAAACATTTTCCCATATATAACCCTGGTGGGGAAACATTTTCCCATATATAAATCTGGTGGGAATTTTTTTCTAATCCTAGTGGGAAACATTTCCCCCATATATGATTCAGATACAAAATATCTAAATATATTGGGGGAAAATGCTGGAATTTGTTTGAAGGAAGTATTTCAAAGGCTGGACTTTTACAGAAATATCTTTTTCTTTCAAAATCAAACAAAAAAATCCCACTATTTACAAACATAGCAACAAAGCTGGCTCAAAGTGCAAAATAGATAATGTCACCAAGTGTTTCTCTTACAACATTACAAGACTTCAACAGTATTCAATGACAAAACGTGACATATTTTATTCTGTTCTAACAATGCTTTTAAAGCTAATGAATAAATTAGCAACAAAAGGGTATGACAAACTTGGAAAATATTTTGAAATGATAAAAAAAGATGATACTTTTGCTTTTAGCAACATATTCAATGATAAACATAGATAAGTCATAAGACCGAAGCTGGGTTAAATATATCGCTTAGAATAAAAAAAGATATTATTAAAATAACACAAAAAAGCATCATTATGCATGCTTTTTAACATAATATAATACAATATTTTTGTTAAGCTAGGTTTTACCAGTGACAAAATTTTAAAAAAATGAATTAATTTAGCACATTTTTCTTAATTGCACAACTAAGTAGAAAAAATTGTAAAATTAAAAAAAAAATCAGTACATTTAAAATACAGATCCACACAATTATTGGAATTTTCAAAGAGTATATTCATGAAAAAATTTACAAGTTTTGACACTTAAAATCTGGCACATAGTTTAACAAATAATAAAAGAAAAAAATAATCAGTTACAAAATTTGGTTTGTAATATAATTTGTTCAAAAAAATGCCTATGAAATTAAAGATAGAAGTTTCAAAGCAACACTTTTTTTTTTGTATTTGTCAAAGACATTCAATATTGGCAACAAGAGTGAAAGATTGAGCTCCCTTTAACAATAGCAACACAAACAAAATTATTAACCAAGAGAGATGGATGCTCCCGAAAAGTAATTTGGCGATTTAAAAAAAAAATATTGCCATACTATAGGTAGTCAGTGATAGAATGACCCCATGAACTTTATCCCTCACCCCAGGGATGTACCGGTAACTTCACCCCAAATACCCAAGACAATTGTCATTTAACAGAGATTCTCCTGAGGAAAAAGTAAACAATCTATTCTTAGCCTAAATGACCACATTTATAGAAAGCCCCATCCAAGAATAGATGTCAATGCATCCAATATTTACCAGATAATATATTGGTCAATAAATCAATCAAAGTGTCAGGGGGACCAACTGGCACCGTATGCTCCCCCACAAATGTAATCAAATTGCATAAAACATATCTAGTAGCATTTTTCTAATAGCTCATGGCAAGAATAATGTACGTAGCTCCTGAAATAATGTTAAATGGCTTAGAAAAATGCATGTCAGTAAATAATTCCTGAGGTATGTTAATCTTGTAATTTTCCTACACTTTTGTGCTTCCTTTTTTTTCTGTAAACTATCTTGATCGTTTTTCATGTAAACTATATTGATAGTTTATAATTATATCTAATAATCCATGTATCAAACTAAAAGCTAATTTTCATCACTAATACAAAAATAATATATATTTCTAATACTGTAGTGTTATCATTTTTTTCCTAACCAATTAAACAAATGTATTACACATAATAAACATGTATTACAGATATAATGTGTAATGGCATAATATACATGTATTACACAATGTATTACACATAATATAGATGTATTACACATACTGTGTTACACACAATATACACGTATTACACATAATATATATGAACACTACACAGTATACATGTACCACACATAATATACATGTATTACACATAATATACATGTATAACATATACAGTCAACAAATTAGTACTATTAAGTAATCATTTAAGACTGTGTTTGGAAGTGGTTCACACTATGATCAATCAGAAATTTGTTAACTCTCCTTGCCTTGAAGACAGTTACATTTCTGTTCCTTGTGTAACAAAATTTTGCAAAAGTAGGAACATCCCTTAAACACATCTCTGCAACAAAAGTTTTCTCCCCTGTGTCAGACATTTGCAGAACGAAGTATACAATTGGCAAATTAAATTATCTCCCTTGAAAATATATATTGTTGTTGCAAACAGTTATCTTTTCTAGAGTATGGTGTTGTAACTTTGGCAACAAAAGAGAACAAAGAAATCTGAATATCACTGCAATATTTTCACTTGTTAGGTTTTAGTGTTCTAGCCCTCGCAAATGAATTTGGAACATCAGCAATGAAAGCTCGAAAACGGTACTCCATTTCTTTACGTCTTGCCATTAATTCACGATGAAGCGCCTCAGCCTGAAAAAATATTTCAATTCATTATAGTTTATTCCCGAGTTTAAAAAATATACTATAATTATATAAGATAAGATAAGAAAAAGTTGTTTATAACACTGTGAAAAAGACTCACATTTTCACTTTTAATTCATTAAACTCTTCAAGCGCCACTGGCAATTATAAGATATCTATGACACTGGCATTATAATAGTCATGCAAACATAAACAGTCTGTTTTCTTCTAAATTCTTCACATCCTGAATTGCAAAATGGACCTGTCCAGCTTCAAATTTGGAACTGTTCATTATCAATTTTAGGAATATCAAGAAGATATTTTGAAGCAGTATAGAGCCCAGTCAGACTGCACGGAAGTGCGGGCTCAGGTCCATCACCTTCCCTTCCAGCAGGTTATTTAATGCTTATTTTAAAATTTCAATAACAATGAATAGCTTTATATTCAAGGCAAGGCAAGACAAAAGTTGGGCAAACAAATTCACAGAAGATAAAAGGTGGACTCTTCAACCATATTACCTATGATCACTATTGTTTGTAAAGGATTGTCAATAGTTCTTGTTAGAATTTCTAATATTGATAAACATCTTTAGGCAGTGCATCATCTTTTTAATAAATTCAAAGTGATTAAAGTGAGTCTGCTAAATTGAAATTTCTCTTTAAACATTACTTTATTACTTAAGATAATTTAAATAAAATTACTAAGAATTAAGCTCAATTCATCAAAAAAGTGTTTATTTTACAATTTCAAACTAAACTAAGATAATTTGAATATAAGTACTATGAATTCAGCTTAATTCTTCAAAAAAGAGTTTATTTTACAAATTCAAACTTTAAAACTGTTTAATACACTTATTTTTTATGCATTAAATTGAAAATGATGATCGTAAACGCCACAATACAAATGAAAATCTACAAAATTTAATGAAACTGAAAATCTTGATTATATCATTACATGTAGATTCAATCTATTTATTTTTTCTATACATGTCTATCATGAATGATAATGAACATGTTAAAGGGAGATAAATACAGCTGAAAGTCAAAACAAAACTGTACAGCAGAGGGAAAATAAGCAAAGTATAATGAACTCAAAAGATGAAATGGACATAAAAAAGAGAATTTCTCAATAGTACACACTGCAACATTGAAAATTTAATATTTCAAAATAATTTATCGTACAAGAATTGAAGGCAATTCTCTAAATAGAGATTCACTCTATAGAAGTATAACATAATTATCTTTTTATTGGAGGGAGGTAACTCATCAGGATTTTTTTCAATCCAAACTTCAAGGGTTACTTCCCTTACTTTATAAAGATTATATTAAACTGTTACAGTAAAACACACTCGCACATACACTCAGGACACAATTCTATTTTAACCAAAAAAAAAAAACACACAAAAAACTCTCCCATTATCTTTTCAACATATAAAATCTGGGTACTGAAACAAATTAAATAAATAGAAAGCTAAAATTTAAACTACAACATACTGTCCTAGGATGATAATTTGGTCTTAACGGTACATGGGAAAGTCCAAAAACGGGGTTATCTGGATTAATATCCGATATCGTAAAAGTAAACACTTACATATACTTTATACCATAATTCTTACAGTGTCGTTTGTGTATTACCGTTATGGCTCTGCCGGTAGATCGTAGTTATTGTAACTTTTAGTGTTTTGTACTGATAGGTTCGAACCCCATGTAGTGCCATTTTATAACCACAGTTTTTACTTCTTGCTCATTTTTTATCATTATTATTTATTCAGTTTTCGTTTTCCTTTTTGTTTTCTTCTTATAATATATATTTTACAGTATATATTTATATTTTTTATTTCTATTCTATCTTCTTTTTGTATTTTTTGATCGCAGTGTAATAAAATATTCGATCTCGTATTTATGTATGTATATAAAAAAGGGTCAACATTGTTTTCTGAACAATTGACTGTTCAGAGGTAAAAAAAAATGTGTCGTACCAGTAGTCGAACTTCTGCCTGTACGGGTAAAACACATTACCGACACGGTTGCTCTACCTACTGCGCTAACAAGACATATGATAACATATAGTTTTATTTTCATTTTTATAGGTTGTGGCATTGATCTGCCTTACCTATTTTTCGCATTGTTATTGTTTTTTGTTATGTAAACAAAGGCTCAAGTTATCATCCTAGGACAGTACAAGCTTCATGGAGGAATTCTAAATCAAAACATTGTTTGAACAAGAAAAAAATGCAAAATAAAAAAAGCACATTTTAAACAGGTCTTATTTAATTTCTCATAAGTCCATGGTCAATTTTTTAATTATAATTTTAACATTGGGTACAATTATGATTTTGCATCTATGTAGTCAATTTTAAGCAATTTGACTCTTGCAAGCTACATGTAAAATGGACTGTTCCAAAATACAAAGGATTCTTTCGGCAAATCCATTTAATTACCTATATTAGCAAGGTATGGTTATAACTGGAGTTAGTGTCAAGACCTCAGATGTGGCTCAACTAATTAATTTACTGAGGAACAAATGTGTAAAAAACTGGTTCCTATTTTGCCATTTTTTGGTGAAAAAAGCAAAATTCCAGGGAGCTAAATAATAAAGCTAACCAAAGCAATTTACTCTACAATCAGTATATAAGTAACACTGTACTATTTTTCAGTTAGATTAATCTTTTCCTTTTTTTACAGTCTAGAGGTAGCATTTTTTATTTGTTCTTCATTAAACTTTTTTTGTTTTTCAGATTAATCTTATTGCCATTTCTTTTATTCTTGCATAATTATTAGACAGGTTTATCTACTGTTTACACCGATGCAGCATTAGAAAAGATTTTCTGTCTTACACCCCCTATATAAGACAAGTCGCATTTTTTGAATGATGTCATTCCCACACGCCTTTTATGAATGAAGTGCGTTCTTAAGATGACATCATTGTGCCATTATAAATGAAGTTGTAAAATCATAGACTACTTTAAGAAAAAAGTGCTAAAATGAAAATATTATTTTCGTAATTTCTTTTTTAATGTCATTAATTTGTAATATCCAAGAAAAATCAAACACCGGCTGTCGTCATAGACAGGAATATCTATCTCTCCTGTGACTGTTTAGCAGAAACTCGGCAGAGCCTCATGTAACCACTGCAAAAAGTTTGTGAGAGCTAGATATTCCGGTCTGTACCGGCAGCTGATGTAAGATTCTTATAATATTTAAACCATCAATGTAAATCAATATTCTATAAATGATACTACATGAAATCAAAATGAGCCGTGTCATGACAAAACCAACATAATGTGTTTGCTACCAGCATGGATCCAGACCAAACTGATAGCGAACAGCATGGATCCTGATGAGACTGCGCGGATGCGCAGGCTGGTCTGGATCCATGCTGGTCGCAAACACATTACGTTCGTTTTGTCATGACGTGGCTCAAATATGGAATAGAAAAATTAATGAACAAACAGTATAACAGTTACTGTTTCCTTCAAAACAAAAAATAACCAAAAACATATTTTCTTTTCACTTTCGGAAGTAAATGAAAATGTAACCGTTAAAAAAAACACACACACACTTTCAAAACTTGAATAAAAAAATGAACTTGAATATTAACTTTACTCACAGAACTTGGACGGCCATCTGAGACTAGCAGAGGCTAGAAATTGGTTGTGAAAAATTGCAAAATCAATAAGTGGATGTTCGCTTAAAATTATTAATCAAACCAACGGATATCTGCACATTATTAACTTAAATCCTTTTAATAAATATACATAGTAGCTTAAACTATTTCACTAGAGTAATTGTACAATTATTTACAACCATAACCTGCAGGACCAGAGTAACTAGCTTCCATTTTTAAAAATGTCCCCTTGAGGATCAAACCAACCACCCACGGATATTACTCTCCCTATTGAGATTTAGCTGGCTGACTTGTCATCACAATGAAAACATTTGACATTTACTTACATTTTGACAGTTATTAAGATATGACCTAGTTGTTTTGAATGAGAAAAACTTAATCCCTTATGCTACATAAGTTTACTTTAAAAAAAAAAAAAATCCGACACTTTTTTCATAACTGATAATTTTACACACAGTCATATTAAAAACGAACTTCTCTCATTGAAATTATGACAAAAGGCAACCTTTAACTGACCATTTTAAAAATCAGAAACAAAAAGATTCTTAATTTAAGGTAATCATGATAACTTTGCATGGGACAAGAATTGATGTCTTTAACTTTAAATGAAACTTTTTCATTGGTCAATTTTAAACTAATTAGCAAGATCAACCATAATATCAGATTCACCAACTTTTTTGTGGTTGTGTATTTTTAAAACTTAAAAGTGCTTTATAGATTGTAGCTATAACCCGTTTCAAGGGGTAAGTGCAATCTTTTTTACATACTAGGAAAAAAGGAAAATTTAAGCTATTTAAGATAATTACCTACATGTAAAAGTGATCTAAAATATTAAAATAAAAACTCCCTTACAACTCCTAAAATTATGATAGTGACCCCCATTCTTATTTTTCATCAATTTGTTTCAATTACTTACTTCTCTTAAATTTAACCATTAAAGTTTAAGAAAATTCTGTGCGCTTAGGTTTAGATAATCCTGTTCTGCTGTATGTTTGTAAAAAATTGCACTCACTCACTGCACTCATTCACTCACTGCACTCACTCACTGACTGCACTCACTCATGAATGCACTCACTCACTGTACTCATTCACTCACTCAATGCACTCACTGCACTCATTCACTCACTCACTGACACTGCACTCACTCATGTCTTAAAAAACCACTGAAATATGAAAATATTTGCTGATACAGTTAGATCACCAAAGATATTGGCAATAATAAAACAATCAATCTTAATTACATACCTAGACTTATTGGCAACAAAAAACAAATACGAATAAACTACTCCACATTTCTTGCAAACAAAATGCATATTTTTCATATGTTTAATGTAAAAATAAATACATTAGCAAAAAACTTTTGGCATGTTATTTGTTGATGAGAATAAACAAAGTATTTTTCAGACTGTTTTTATTTATATAATGAAAACAAAAGCTCAACTTCAAGTAAATATCGGCTGAGACAAGTGAAATATTAATTTCAAACTGTCAAAAAATGTCTGACAGTTATTTGTCAGCAATATATACAAACAGATTGAAATATCCATTATCTTCCTGGCACGTTTAGTCTAGCTTCAGTTATAAAATCTGAAACAAAATTCTAGAAAACTAGGCGAGCATCAAACAAACTTTATAGTCGGAATGGTTTGACGCAATTCTGTCGTAACTTAATAAATTTTAAGAGCCAGCCAAGACAGTATTGCGCTGAAAACCATGAATTACTGAGCAACTTTCTACGGTATTTTTCTATGTGCAAATATTCTATCTACGGGTAACGTCCTACATATGTGTACTTACTTACATGATTTATTAACAACACAACACGCTACCGTTGTTGCGTGATATGTGAGCCACCATGCTTGGGACCCAGATAGCCAGCGCGCAGGGAGCGGCCTATATTGTGTGAAAAGTTAGTTGGTTAGTATTTCATTAATTTTGTTACTTCTTTACATTTTTGAAATGGAAATATGTTTACATCAGAATTAAGTATGAGATATACTATATTAATTGTTATTTGTAATTAGTATACATGTATAATTATTGTGTTCTAAAAGTATATAACACTAAGATAGAACAGAAAAGATTTCTAACAATATCTACATTTTCATTGACTTAAAATTTCAACTTCTGAAACTGAAATATAAATGAGCCTCGTCACGACAAAAGCAACGTAATGGGTTTGTGACCAGCATGGATCCAGACCAGCCTGCGCATCCACGCAGTCTGATCAGGATCCATGCTGTTCGCTTACCAACTGTATAACAAGTAGAAAAACTGATAGCTAACAGCATGGATCCTGATCAGACTGCGCGGATGCGCAGGCTGGTATGGATGCATGCTGGTCACAAACCCATTATGTTGGTTTTGTCATGAAGCGGCTCAAATTCACATTTAAATCAGAAATATGGGGAGAAAATTTCATAATACACTTTTCCATTCTAATCCTCTTTTGTAAGAATATTTGAAATGATCTGTGTATATTGTAAATTGAAGCATGTATATTCTGAGAAATAAAATATGTTTAAACTGAATCAGAAATGGAAAAAATAATTATCATGGTACTAGAATACTAATTTTATAGTAAAAGAATCAAATATAAAGGTGACTTAATTAAACATAGATGCCTATGGCGAATATTTTCCTTGTTAAGAATATGTTAATAGTACATTTTTTTACAGTTTTTCAACATTTTTAAAACCCAAACATGCAAAACACACATTTATCAATCAAAAATGCCTCTTAGAATTATTTAGTCTAACAAAAACGTCAAAAACAAGTTATTTTATTCCAAACTTATACCTTTCACAAATTTCCATGAATGCCTTAAACTAAATATAAAGGAAATTGAAAAATTATTGCAACACGACAGCAAAATATTTGAATTCACGTCAATTCCCATAAATTTACGAAACCATTTTCCATCCCCATTGTTATTGATATGTTATTGCAACAGATACCCATAATTCCCCCACATAGATCTTACATATTTTACGTCCATTTAATTACTCAGAGAGAAAATGAACTCCTTCTAAAATAAATAGAGTTATTAAAATGATAAATAAAACTAGAATTTAATAGAAAATAAAATAAAATACATTTAATAAAACGTTATTGTTTGAATTTTATTTCTCCGATATTTCGAGATTTGTAATGCTGCTTGCTCCTTGTCCGGGGGCATTATCTATTTCCTTTACAACGCAAAGGAGCTAAGTGTTTTGTTAAATGGTACATAACTCTGTATTTACTGCTATAACAGCAAAAACAAACACCTCTATAAATATGTTTTTTATAGTTGAAAAAAAATGCGTCACAAACAAATTTTAAACATAAAAGAAATGTTTTCAACACAAAATGATCATTGTTAATATAATATTCCTAATATTATTCATAGATCAAACTAAAAAGATATTAGGAATATTATTTAATTACATTGTATCAATTTTATATGTATTTGTTTTGTTTTTTTTTTCATTTTGAAACTTTTTATGAAGTTAATTGAAATATTAAGTGTTATATTAAAGTATTGCCTGGAACCATCATTTTGTTTATAGCTAACTAATCTATGTTAAAAGGGATCTGACTGTCTTAATTAACGGACAAGACAATTTTTTCTTACAAAAACTTCAGACTTTTTTCCCTGATAGAACAAAAACAAATCAAACTATTATATATATGTTAATCTCAAAATATTTCTTTTTAAAATATACAAGAAAAACTAAGAAAAGCATTTTAATAGTCAATTTTATTTAAATCTATAGACATCTAATGTTTAAATTATTACAAACAAAGTGAAGGACAAAAATGTTAACCCATAACATGTAAGATATCTTAAATGCACTTGTCCATCTTTCAATCTTGACAAAAACAATTGTCAGAGAAAGTAACCTCCAAATGAGCCGCATCATGACAAAACCAACATAGTGCGTTTGGGACCAGCATGGATCCAGACCAGCCTGCGCATCCGCGCAGTCTGATCAGGATCCATGCTATTCGCTATCAGTTTCTCTACTTGTAATAGGGTTTAAGTAAGCGAACAGCATGGATCCTGATCGGATCCGCAGGCTGGTCTGGATCCATGCAGGTCGCAAACCCATTATGTTGGTTTTGTCGTGACACGGCTCAAATAAAGACCACTTGTCTATAAAGGTCATGTTTGGACTCTCTCTCAGATGGCCTTTATTTTCAGGTTTGACTGTAATATCTTACAGCCTGACATTTAATAATTTATACAAATTTAGCAAAAATATCTGTTGATATGAAAATTAAAAAATATTTCGGCATAACCTTAGCAAAGTAAAGCATATGAAATCATGATACAAAATTCTCTTTTTCAAAATGTGTAAGAATCATTTTTTCTTACATTAAATTTAAAACCATACATAATGTTAACTTGAAATATCTCAAAGATCAAAATTAATATGAATATTGCATAAATTGTCTGACAGACTGCATAAAACAGCTGTTAAATGGTAATATAACAAATGCAAATATTCCTCTGAAGAAGGTTAAATATTTTAATTTATTCTAATTAACTATTTAACTGTAACCCAGAAAGCTATCCCCACCCCCAACATCAAAGGAAATACAGCAGAGACTTCTGGATTTTCAAACGTCTGATACAGGCCCCAACCTCCTGGGACAGACCATAGGCACTTGGTTTCAGGATAAAAAATTTTATGAGAGGTTTGTAGAACTCAAATTTAATTGAATGCTACGATTTTTTAACGTAGATGTCTCGATTCTAAAACTGTCATTTTTCCAATGTTACTTAAAGTATACTTTGAAAACAATATCCATCTAGACATTTGATAAAGGAACTTTTAATAGGAGAACAATTACCAATGGACACATAAATGAGCCGCTTTATTACAAAACCAACATAGTGCGTTTGCGACCAGCATGGATCCAGACCAGCCTGCGCATCCTCGCAGTCTGATCAGGATCCATGCTGTTCGCTTACCAACCCTATTACAAGTAGAGAAACTGATAGCGAACAGCATGGATCCTGATCAGACTGCGCGGATGCGCAGGCTGGTCTGGATCCATGCTGGTCGCAAACGCACTATGTTGGTTTTGTAATAAAGCGGCTCAAACACTTTTTGAAATCAGTAAAGACATAGCAGTGGGCAATCAGTGACTTGAATTCAAATATTTTGCTGACATGTTGCATTAGAATTAAATTCTTTTAATTATCTTTATATTTAGTTTAAAAAGACATTCTGGGAAATTTTTGAAAGGTATAAGACAGGAATAAAATAACTAAATGTTTTGGTTTTTTGTTTCCAAGGTTTCACGTTAAATTACAGCACGACCATAATGCAACTGAAAAATATTCACACAAGTGATCAAGATAGGTCTACAAACCTCTCTGAAGGGTTTTTATCCTGAATCCAAGTGCCAGTGAGACAGACAATTATTGTAAAAATGCCCGACTAAAAACCCCAGCACTGCATTTAGGCAATGTTTATTAATATTCATGACATTTCTGACCATAAATGAAGTTACAAGCTTTGCTTATCTGAATTTCCGAATTATTACCAGTACCGTATAGTTATGAATTTTATCAAATTGCACTGACTTACGCCAAGTAAAAACGGTATAGCTAAGATAGAGTCTAATTCATGCTTAAATTTTCCATGCAACATGCTGAAGTGTATTTATTTTGTATTTAATCCATGATCTGTGCAGAAAATAAAAACCTAATTTTTATGACAGAATTATTCAGAACAAGGACTGATTCCAATAAAAAGCGGCTGTAATTAAAAAAAACAACACCTAAAACCCTAGCATTTCATGTTGGCATGCAAAAGCTCCAGCAAAGTTTAGGAGTTGTCTAGATTTTTGTATTCTAATCAACCCAAATAAAGCTGTTACATGAAAAGGAGTGAGAGAGAGAGAGACCCTCAATTAATCATCAAGATGAGAAAATTGACCTAGATATAACATGCAGCATTAAATTCACAGTGTTACAAAACAATATCATTACGTTATATAAAATTCAGAGAGAACAATTAAAGTTGCAAATAACACATGCTAATACCCTACCAATTTATATAGACTAATGTTTTCGTATATATATAGCTTTGGTTTTTTTTTCTGGTTGAGTTTTACTTTTAACCTACACAGTATAGGTCATATAGTGACTTTCTAGCTTTACTGGTGGAGGAAGACCTCAGGTGTCGCTCTGTACATTATTTCAGGCACAAACAGACACCCGAGTAGAATCATAGACATTGCATAAGTTGGCTGGATAGCTTTCTCAGATAGAATTTGACAACGCTTTAGTTGGCTTGAACCTACAGCAGTAAGAGGCAAGTCAATGACCTTAACCACTCAGCAGTGGATGCCCCCTGAATGTACACAACTAAGACAAGTAAAAAATAGACTATTTACTAGTACATGTACTTTTGTAAAACCCAGTATTTGCAACACAATTTGTGGCCACGTCTCAGAATTCTCAAGGTATTATAGGAGAAAACAATGATCAGGCCTTGCAGAAATGTTTATACAATTGAAACAAAATGAAAATACAAACATGCACTATTTAATAAAATACCGCAAAATAAAAATCAACTCAGGCGTAAAAATCATACATGCAAGGTTTCATATAATATCCTAAAAATAAAAGCATCAACATTTTGGAGGATTATATTAAATACATGCGCTTCTAAAAAAATAGGAATATTTTTATTTATATTACCAAGATAAGGATATTTTTGCAAATTAGCTGAAACAGATGTGTAGAGATAAAAAAATATATGCCTGAATTCAGACAAAAGTATATACTGACAAAATACTTTTTCCTTTCATACGAACACAGTAGAACAAGTGCTATATTTACAAAATTCTTTTTCCTAAAACGCAATATAGTAGAAAAAGTGCTGTCATTCTAACTGATTACTCATATTGAAAGCGTAAATGACTTTTCAGTTGACCTACTGATAATTAAATACAAAGACACCTATGTGTTTCACTAATTTTGATTTATCTTTATTTTCATGTTGACGATTTTATTTATTAGTTTTCCTTCCTAACTTTTTTTTTCTGTTTGTAATGCCCATTTTAACATATTTCCAGTCAGGTTTTAATGCTGATTACAACATATTTCTGGTCAGGTTTTAATTGCCTATTTTAACATATTTTTGGCTCATATCTTGGCGATCAATACACCTAACCAGCTTTTCTGAATAACAAAACATTAGTTACCAACTTCTCCACATGTGACCAACTACTAATCCAACATGATTTCTTAATCAGTTGTTTAAGAGACAAATGACCATTAGACTTTAAATATTCAAGATCAAATGTCATGGAGAAACTATGTTATGTCAAAGGATTGAACCAGTGACCCCTTAGATTTCTGATCCCATCTTCTCCCTATGGAGCTAAGTGGGTAGAATAATTATTTTCAATAATTACTATTTATGTTATAGTCAAATAAAAAAAAACTTTTGCCTTTTGCATAATTATTAACAATAAATTTCCTTTTTAAATTACAAAGTATCTTTATTAAGTTGAAAGGAACATTGGTCTAAAATCATGTTACATTTTGAAGTTTCATTGTATCGCATCCTTTCCCAACCAATAATATTCATTCTTTTCCTATTATAAGCATATATATTTTTATTCAATGCAATATTTACGTCAAAAAGTCTTAAATATTTATATATTAACATGTGCAAAATGATTTTGATATACTCCTGTATACTTTTCTTTCAAGGGGAACTTAATCTATCAAATTATTAACTATAGATGAAAACGTTTAGAATTCTAAATATATGTGAACACAAAGAATACATCTGTTTATCACACACGTGTGTATGTTTCAAAATCTAGCTTTTCACGTCATATTTCAATAAAAGCATTCTGGTAATAGAATTAAAACATGTCGTTAGTTTCGAGAGAGTCTAAATGTTACTCTACAGTAGATTATATGTAAACAAAATGCGCACCTGTGGTCCACTGTTTGAGCTCCGTGTAACGTCGTAACAAATCTTTCTGCAGCATTTTAACCTGTCACCCAAATATGATCAAGAACATGGTGAAACACAAATGATAAAATGATACGTGAAACATTGTATGAAATCTGATTTTACCAAAAATGTTCGTTCATTGCAAAAATACATGCATTTATTTTATTTATAGAGAGCTTAAAAAGCAAAATGCCAATATCTCATTCAGCATTTACTTAGTATAATGATCATGTTACTATGACCTTTTTGCACCAATATCTCTACATCTTGTATATTATACATGTTGTAGACACGTTTTTTTGATCCAGCAATGCCTAAAACTCTTGTTTATGAAATAACTTGTACTTTTAAGTAAAGGTTTTAGGTTTTACCGACCACAATAATGGACATTTTAAAGGCGCCATTAGAGAATGAGCCTTTTTTTTTTACTGTTATTACATCAAATGATTTAACACAATGAACTCCTAGAACACTGGAGGTGCGAGTGTGTCCATAGGACACACATGCCCTCATAAATCACTGTCTTGGGGCAGTTCTTTATCCTTCCAGGTAACGCTAAGTACTGGTGGGATAAAAAAATAACCTTAAATATTAACTTAGTAATAGTTCTGCACATCTGGTATTGAATAAACATTTAGTAATTTCAGTTCTGAATCATTAAAAATAAAAAGCCTATTACATGAATGGTGTCTCAGATATTGTTAAAGCAAAATCAGATTTCATACTAAACTAAAATAATGAGATGATTATACACCTGGAACATACCATTGCCAAGTAAAACAGAGGCAAACCAAAAACACTTTCACCCTTGGAAATCATCAAATATCAGTTATAAAGCTATAAGCTATACAATGATGTGGCATGTTATTTAAAATACACCCAGGCAATTCAACATTACTTTGTTGTTACTTAGTAAACAAAGAGACCAAATTACCACATATAAGATTTGTCAGTGATTTTACTGGTTTTTCAGTCATAACAATTTGCATGTAAAATGTTATTTCTATACATTGTTTATTTTTATTTTTTTTTTGGGGGGGTTACATCCCATCAAAATAGCAGAAGTCATATGGCGACTTTCCAGGTTTACTGTCGGAGGAAGACCTCAGGTCTGCCCTCCATGCATTATTTCGAGCTAGAGTGGACACCTGAATAGAACAAAGATGTTCCAAAAGCTAGGTTGATAGCTTCCTCGCATGAAAGAATCCACAAAGTCCCTGACCAGATTCAAACTTCCTGAAGTGAGGGGCATGTTGTTTTAAGTCAACACTCTTAATCATTTGGCCACAGATGCCCCCACCCCTTTCTTCCCCCTAAATAAATAGATATTTAATGACTTTCAAGAGCATGGGAAACAACTATTAATAAGTATTATTTTGTTTATAAAGAAAAAGCAATAAATTGTGCCATACAATATCAATAATGACATGCTTATAATATAAATATTATATACATGTACATAGATAAGTAATTCATTATAAAACATGTAGGGGTCTCACACACAATAAAATGGTTTAGGGAAAAGGTTACTGTAAAGGTGGGGTTCTTGAATATATTATTATATAGGTATAGACTAATATACATGTCAATTTGAAAATTCACACAATAACAAGATTATGGCTTACTGATCTATGAAACATCAAGAAATGATTACATACATGTATAAATGCACATGTAACAAAAACAACCAACTTTGCACAACTATGCAATATGCAAAAGTTAAAAGTGCATAATTTAATGAATTTTGGAAAAAAAAAACACATTAAATGCTTCACAACACGTAAACAAAAACACCAGAAAATCTAGAAGAAACCTCTAACCATTACTGAGATATGTAAATAGTCAACTTAGATGATTTTTCACTTCTAAACAATAGTACAAACATGGTAAAATGGCCAGAATAATTAATATATCAAATAACTACTAAAATCTACTAGACAAAAAACAAAATTTGCTAAATATGAATCAAACATTTAAAAAATTTATTTATTATCCACTTATTTACATAGATTCTACAATTGTCAGAAGTTTCTAATGGATTTCCTTGCGTTCCATTGAACTGAGGTGGTATTGGCCGAACCTTGACCAGCAAACATCCGTCGTCCGGCTAAACCGGACTGGTGACCGGTGAAGCCTGGACAACCAAGATGAACTGATGGTTTAAAACCTACCCTCAAAGTTGAGGGTGACTGTAATTATACGTACCACTTCTAATTCCCTCCGCGCAGCCTCCATCTCTTCCTGAGGCGATCCCTTTGGTTGTTTCCGTCTCTCGTGCATCTGTGACGTATGTGCTTTAATTCTTTTTTCTAATTGTAATATCCTTTGTGCTCTGTTTAATACACACAAAAATATCGAATAATATTTTAAACATACAAATACCTTGGTGTAAATAAAGAAAATTTTTTAGCAAATTTTGGTCATCTTTGGAAATTCTTTATAATAATATTTTGCAGAGATTTCATTTTTCAAATTCTTCAAAACTTTGTCTAAAGTGAGTAATAAATTATTACACTAAAATATTGAAATATAAACATAAAAAAAACATAGATACAAATACTCATCAGGCACGAGGAGATTTTAAAAAAAGCATAAATATACCAAAACAAAAGTGATTTATTAAAAGGAGGAAATTCAATCTTGAAATAAATGTAATTTCATTATCTTTTTGTATTAGGAATATTCACTTTCATTTAAAGGCCCTTAAGGACCTCGAAAATGTAAACATTTTTATTTCATGAAAGCTGTTTTTGTAGTCATAATACAATTTCCAAAAAGCTTTGATCATAAATCTGAAACATCATTTGTTTCTTCTGCATGTTTGAAAAATAATATCATGTCAAACTCTATATATTTGTTTAAAAAATAAATCTGAAATTTCCATTTCCCCTTTCAATCCCCTTCCCACACCCCAACCCCAGTAATTATTGTTTCAGATGAATTTGCCTCATCCCTGACAATCCTACCCAAACATCCTTTCCATTTTTACTATGTATCTAACTAGAATAGACTTGAATTAGAAAATAATCATACCCACAATTATACCATCTTTTAAGACCACTTCAACATATTGTTTCAAAAAGAAGATCATTTTGTTTCAATCTTACAAAAAACTTAATTTTAAATGATTTAAAAAAATAAATATATTTACTTTTCCTCTTCTATCCTCTGCCTTGATGCTGGTGACACTTGTCTTCTGATTTTTTCATGAGCCATTTTGACATCATGCTGTAATAATAATATACATTGTAATATATAGAGGATATTTGTTAAGTTCAGTGTAAGATCGGAATATATTTCACCGAGTGAGCACCAAAAGGTATATTTCACGAGTGGCGCAGCCACGAGTGAAATATGAACTTTTGGTGTTCACGAGGTGAAATATATTCCGATCTTACACTAAACTAAACAAATTTTCTTTTTATTACATGCTAAGAAACGTTTAAAAAGACATTTTATCCTAGTACTAAATGAAAAGCCAACAAATTCTAATACAACGTGACGTCATTTACGACGTCACATCATTAAGCTGGTTTCCAGTACTGTGCACGCTGGTATTTCTCTGAGACAACGTAACGGGCTTAAATTCAAAACAGTGAAATTATCAAATTGATAATTTCACTGTTTTAAACAGTGAAATTACCAGTTTATAAATCACTTATATATTTCTATAATCCATCGAAAAGCATGTAATAAATTTACCATATCACATAACATTGTGTCATAAATTTATATAACTTACAGTTGAATTTTGCAAAAATACCATTTATGTATTTACATATCTCACTGTTTTGAAAGTAACACATAGTACATAATTGTATTTTTTTTTTTTTTTTTCTTTCTTTTTTTTTTGATTTGGTTAAAAGTCATAATGACACCAATAAGCTAGCGTTTCTAGCTTAATTGGTGGAGGAAATTCTAGCTTAATTGGTTGCTCCTTGCATTCTTTAAGGCACTTGTGAGCAGGCATCTGAGCTAAGAACCATCCACAGTCCATAAACTAGCTAAGATAGCTTCCTTATATGTGAAGGTATCCAAAGCCATTGGTGGGATTTGGACCCACACCTGTGCCAGGCAAGTCGTTAGTGGTCATTACCTGTACCACAGAGGCCTCACATTATTATATACTTCACTGTGTGTGTTTAAGGTAATACCAAATACATGTTTATATCTAAACTTTAACCAAGTGTTGCATCATTGACCACTCACTTACAGGTGAGTAGGAAAGCCCTAGTACTCTTCAAATAGTTGAGCTCTAAAATCAACACTTCAGGTATGGGTCTTTGAAGTCATCAATAGTTCTACATTTACAATTTCAATGACATTATAATCAATCAGCGAAATGTCAAGTGAAATCTTTCAGAAGTCAATGAGAAATAAATTTGCAAATCCTTTACCAAGTGTTATACAAATGCTGAGGCCAGGGTATGAAATATACACAAATGCTGATGCTGGGGCAGGAAATACACAAATGCTGATGCCGGGGCAAAATATACACAATTGCTGATGCCAGGGTAAGAAGGTAGGTCCTACTATTTAAATGAACAAGATAAACTGACTGTTGGCAAAGGCAAATATAGCCTGATTACCGTTAGGTGGGAGTTATACATATACATACTTTTATTCTCTCTTCATTGGTTGGCAATTTTATATAATCCTGATCTATATCGAAGGGAGCTTGTTGTACTGGGTCCAGAAAATCTGAAACATAATGATAGTTCTGTTGAATATCAATGATATAAAAACTTTTGAATAATAATATATGTCATTTATTGCAGTTCAGACCAGAAAATCCATCCCAAAGGGCGGGTTCTCCAGGGACGGATATTTTGATCCGAACCGCAAAGATATGTCAGATATTTTTTTCTTGCATATTCTGCCATATTTTTTCATATTTAAAATGGTTTTCATCAATATGATATATGTTCATGGAAACTAAAGTCATTTCATCCATAACTATTTTCTTACATAGCATATGAACTTACAACTTAAATAACAACGGCGAAATGACGTCATCCTAAGCACATAAATTATTTCCCTTCTAAAACAACATCATTTTAATGCTGTTCATTTATAAAGTGCGCTAAAATGAAGTTTTTGTTTGGCACACGACTCATCTGGCAACCCCCGTGCCAGCTGAAATTTCCAGCATGGGTAAACCTCACGGAAACGCCAGTCTGCTATGCAAGAAAATCTCAAATCATAATTTTATATCATATAATGTCATGTTGGTTAGCAGTATAACTGTGTTTATAGATTCTTTCATTATCAAATTTGTACATTTAAATTTACATAATCAACTTCAGTTGATTTGAAATTGAGATACACATTTTTCTTATATAAGATTAGAATGTTTATTTTCAATTTTTTAAGGCTACTGGTTTATGTTAAAGATGAAAAATATTTTGCACCTCTTTGGGAGAAAAGTAATAAATTTTTTTTATTTGATGATTTAGAAATGAAATTTAGATCACATTCATAATATATTTGTAAGCTACACATACACAGATAATTTCCAAAGGTAAAGAAAGATTGAGTCCTTTACAGAAAGAAAACTTAAACACCAATAAAAACCCAAAGATTCTGCGGCAACTATGTTCCTTAAAAACATACTCTTACAATCATAGTTATTGATGTAAAACTTAAAATTACATTTAAAAAAGACATATATTTCTAAGCCTTAAATATGGAACTTATTTTAATGAAAGATTATACCTTTAGTTCCTTTTCTAAGGCTTTCAAAATATTTCTTTTGCTGTAGTCTCTTTGTTTCATTTCTCCAGTCCTTTAACATATCTTCATCTCTGCAAATCAGAAATATTATAATATAAAAACAGTATATATGTAATTCAAATATTAAAAAGAAAACAAAAAAAACCCCAGAAAATCATCACAAAAAAATCAGGTTTTTCCAAAATATTTCATATGTAAAACAAGAGCTGTCAGTAGGACGGCATGCTCAACTAAAATGTATTATCAGTGCTTGATAATTACACAAGAGACAGGATCATGTAAATTTTCAAAAGTTCAAAAAAGAGCCATATTTCTGTCAAAATCTACATTAGAGTTATGGCCCTTGGTCACTAAGCGTGTTAAGAGAAACATGTACCAACTTGCACCCAAAAACCAAAATGTGACAGTCACAGTGAAGCAGAGGGCATAGTAAGTACAATAGCTCTCCTCATTTTTTGAATAGATGAAATTAAGAATGATGGTCTATAATTTTGCTTAAAACATGATGAAATTACAAAACTGTGACCACATACTATTATGTAGGGCATGTAATTGATGACAACCATTCTGTGAAAGCTTGGTTGAAATGTAGGAGTAGTTTAACACAGATTAAAGCCCTTCAACCTACTCCCTGACATTCATCAATCTAATAACCAATTATTCCATTGGATAATCCTGGTCTAAAAGTATTTACCTCCCTTTGGGTGTGTGTTTTATTTGGGGACAAATTCTTATTTTTTTATTATTGCATCTTTCATAAAATAATTATTTTTTCGCTATGCATTTTTGGAAAATATTCCAGTGATGAATATATTTTAACAGTTGAATATGTTTTATATATATACTTTATTAATCTACATGATAAACAAGAGGAAACTGCCCTATACCAAACCAGTTCAATACTTATCCTTTACATTAACATAACTGCCCTTGTCCGGCTGTCATTATTAACAATTTTGGGGCAATCAAGATGAAAATTTGAAGGGATTGAACTCACTACAGTGCTGGAGCAGTACCTCTAGATGCTTGCATAAATTTTTTCACCGACTATTACATTTTTCATATTCATTATCGTATACACATTTTTGTGAAGAGATGAATTAGATGGATTTTTTTAAATGCATTTCGTTAACTGAAAAGGAGAGATTTTAGCATTTAATAATTCAAGTGTCTTGTCCAGTAAATAGCGGAATATGGTATTAAGTGTGGTGCTCCAACACTCTTTTTACTCTCACTCAATTTCAAGTTATATAGAGCCTCAGGTCAGACTGCACATTAGTGAAGACTGGCCTGGCTCTTTACTGGTAGCAAAGGTATATCACTTTTTGTTCCAGTAAGTTATTAGTTAACAGAACAAAAATCTTAAGCATAAGAACAAATTTTCTTTTTTTAAAGATCATACTTCCTGCGTTGCAATATGGCATCTGTTTTTTCTTTAAACTCCTTTTCTTTTGCTTGAAGCCTTTCTTCTTTTGATCTCAGTTGAACATAATCTGGGGGCGGTGGCTCGGGATACGGGTTCACCTTCCAATCTAGAACACTTGTGGCAGACTGGGGCCTGAAATATAATTATATAACTAGTCAAACCTCTGCTCTAAGAATTTTACATGTTGCTTTAATAAAAGGACTCAAATGTAAACTGCTTGCGCCGTGACAAAGCAAATTAAGCACAAAATTGTTCTACTTAAAGAATTCAATACTGGTAGTTTGACATTTCATTTCTGCAAATCAACTGGGTTTTTTTTTCTATTTAAATTAGCTATATAAAGCACAAAAGCAAGAATTAAATTTTTTTTAAAAATAACCTTCAAAGGCAAATCGAACAGAAGATTTTCATTTAACATATTCTCCAAAGACTTCGAAAAAAAATACTCATAAGAGAAAAACCGTTTCCAATCTTAGCATCTTCTCAACAAACTTTTGCTAACAATGAGTGTCAGTCAAGTAAATTGACAGTTTCCCTGCGTAACCACTCAATTCTCGATAAAAATTCAATTTCAAATAAACAGTAACATTTCCCTGTGTGTCAGATGGCATGCAATTCACATGTGCAAAGACGTCGTGTTACCCTTAGATAACATTCATGCAATCACACTAAAAGCAAAATTGGAGGCCAAATTTTAGGCAGTACGCAATGTGATCTATCACGCTCGAAGAAACAAAAAAGAAAACTTTCCATCATTCTTTTCCTACGTAATCAATCAAAGAACATAAATTCATCTCACTTCCTTCCTTTCAATGATTAAAACACTCAAAAATGAACTTAAATGACATGTTGATGAAGAGGCTGTTATTGTTTGAAGATTAAAAAGACGAAGAAGATAACGTTTTCTTGACAAGCGTCCCTGAAAAGCAATCTAAACCAAGTTTTATTGTGTTGTTTTATAGCTTGAAACAACTCTTCACGGGGATATCAAAATATTTTGATAAAATTTCCTGAAAATTATCGTGTAACAGTATCTGTGTAAAATTTTCAATACATTCTGTAAGTTACAGTGTTTTATCTTTATTTCTGACAAACAAAACAACCCAAAAAACAAGCAAATATAAAACTAGTTAGAAATTCTGAGTTTCTTAAAAGGACTTGACCAGGCTGAGCTTGTAGTTTTGAAACTTTTCCAAAACTAATTTTAGGGATAGTACCAACCAAACATAAAACTATATAGAAATTAGGTGGTCCTTGCCAAAATCAGGATGTCCTAGACCAACGGACCCATGTTAGTATCGAGGCCTGTAGATCTTGAGAGAAATTCTGAATTTGCTGGTATTTTTGATACTGTCCAATATCGATTTTGGGGGTTTGAAGATGAACAATTAAAGATATAAGTCTGTTTACAGTACATATGTAGCACCAACACAGTAGAGGTCATGTGGTGACTTCGCGCTTTTACTGGTGGAGGAAGACCTTTGGTGCTCACGGGTGCATAATTTAAGGCAGGATTAACAGCTACTGACTGAGTAGAACCACCGATGATCCGTATATCTGGATAACTTCCTCATATGAAAGATTCCAAAGTCCCTGGTGGGCAGAAGTTTCCTCAGGCATTAACAAACATGGCAACAATAAGTAGGTTCATTAACACAGTTAAGCATACTTCTGAAAAACAAAACTTGCAAGGGATGACAAATCTTCTTAAAGTGATAAGCAAAACCACTCTGCCATAGAGGTTTAGCCATTATTATCAGATGAGTGAGTTTAGGTCAAGGTTCTTTCACAACTGAATTGTTTTACTTAATAATGTTCTTATGATGTTCTTTTTCTACTACTAGATAATACTAGAATTATATTCACTTCACATGATATTTGCTTCTACTTACTTATATATCTACCAAATATCTAAATATTGTTTTCTTCTATAACTATTTATATTTGACACAACTCTGTGAACTACTTTAAAACAAAATACTAACAGACTCTAAAGTAAAGAATGAATTTAGAATTCCTCTTTAAGAGGGTAATTTCATCAGATATACATGTACATGTATATAAAAATGTTGACAGGTTATATAACCAAGTTTAAATGGATGTAAGCTTTTGGAAAACAAAAATTTATAAATGGCCATATAACATTGTTATAAGATTTTATTACCAATTTTATCATTCTGCAATAACTGTTTCTATGGTAAAAATTAAGATCAATTTATAAATCTGTTGCCATGTATATTGAAAATGATTTATAATACTGCACATTTGTAACATTGCGTTTGATTGGTAAATTATGAAGTTTATATAAATGTATCATAGTTTGGGGACCTTTCTGTTGAAAATGCGTCAGAGTTAAATCATATACATAAACATGCACAGTGCGTTAACTGGAGGTATTAGTTACCCCCACTCCTCAGCATGCCAATTCATTGGTTCATTTTTTCTGGGGTTTACTTATTGTGACGGCAGAGAAAGGAAACGCGACAGAAATATGATATTCAGATGCTCGTTCATTGCTTACTTTTTTCTGGGGTTTCATATTGTGACAACAAGGAACGTGTTTTTATGTTTGACTATGATACAAAAGAGAAAGAACACCAAAACACTTGGCAATCTGATTAATACTCGGGGTCTACGCCCCCTCGTACAAATCAGATAGCCTCGTGTTTCGGTGCTCTTTCTATTACATAATATACACTACTGATATCAGTTTATGAACTAATTTTATTCTTGAAATAAAAGTGTTTTGCTGTATTATAAATTCCCTATAAAGATCCCTGACAAGTTATATGACAATATAAAAATGGTTGATAAGTGCCTAGCACCTTAGGTCATATATGTAAACAACCATTTATAAAGATCCATATAATCTGTCCAAAATCTTTATAAGTATTAACTAATAATATAGATGTCACAATTAAAATTGTTTTTTTTTATTTATTGATTTTTTTTTTTATTGGTTGCTTTACCCTGCACCAACACAATATCATAACTGTCAAACTAAAAGTAATGTTACAAAAAGCACTGTATAACAAACCTTTAAAAAACAAAATTTTTAAACTTTTATCAAACAGAAATTTGAATGTACAAATTAGAATCTACTAGAAATATGAAATGTCACTTAAATCCAAATGATAGGCGGTCTGGTTTAAATCACAGAGAAGTTTAATATCACCATAAATTCATTTTACCAAGAATACTGGAGACAATAATGAGTTACGTTGCCAGTATAAAGTCTGTAACCAGGCTCTATATTGTTGGCAGTTCAGAATAATTTTGAAAATTGAAATGGAAAGTTTCAAGTTAAGAACAGGACAGCTTATCTTCCATTCCGTTAATTCCCTTTACATCAACTGAATTTCTTAAATGCAGAAACTGTTGTCTAGTCCAATTTCAGTAACTCAATTATCAATTTTGAGGATAGCCGGATGAAAAATTTGAAGTTGATTAGTCAACAGTATAGGTCCTGGTCAGACGGCACGCCATGGGTCGATCTTATCAATGATTGTATGATTTTGGAAATCAATTTTCATCTACAAAAATCATACTATTAAGAAGATCTTCAACGTTTGATAAGACATCGCTGAAATTGTACGATTGACATACAAACATTCTACAATAACAAGAGCGATCAGTGATCACATGTGTCGCCTCATGATGGCCAATTTCATGTTGGGACAAGTTTTGTGACAGACGGACAGTGCACAACTAGACTTGGTACTGATCATTCCTGTAAAGTTTGGATAAAATTGCACCAGTAGTTTATGAGGAGTAGTCCGGACAAGCTTTTGTTTATCTGGCAACACACAGAAAAAAACAACTTTTTATCAAAGGGCCATAACTCGGCCAAAAATCATTCAACCGGAAAACCCGTGCAATATGCGCAAGGACTTGAGCTACAGATCAATCAGGTAAAATTTCATTGAAATTGCATTAGTGGTACATGTATAAGGGAAGTAGTCCGGACAAACTTTAAAAATAAAAATTATTAAATGGCCATAACTCTAAAAAAATCATGGAACCAGAAAATGCTGACAATATGCATAACTAGACTTGGTACTGATCATTCCTGTAAAGTTTGGATGAAATTGCACAAGTAGTTTATGAGGAGTAGTCCGGACAAGTTTTGTGACGGACGGACGGACAGACAGACGACGGAGAAGTGATCCCTATATGTCGCCACTACTCCGTACTAGGCGATACAAAAACGGACATACAACTGTTGAAAACATGGGTCCCTGGTCTGGCTCTATATTGCTGCCAAAGTCTGAACAATTTCAGTTCAAGCTGGATAAGGGTTAAAGGCCCATTATCATGCCTAAGACATGTTATCATTTTATTTTTTTCTCAAAAACGTTTTTTACTTAATGGTTTCTTTGATAGTTCAATAAAATACCATAATATCATTTGCCATATAAATGAACTGTCTTTTGCTCCTTTGATAGCTCTGTTGGCAATGGATATAATTATAGTGAAATAAGTATTTTTCATGGAAGTCAAAATACTACTTTTACATTTTGCTACCTTTACAACACATTACTGTACCTTCAGAGCTACTTTGTTAAACATCTAACATGCTCTCAATCCATTAATAAGACATTATTAAACGCATGTTTGACATTTCAAAAGAATTAAACAAAATGGATTTCTAAGGAATAATGTACGTTTAAGTAAGACTAACTTAATAATTTTATTGTGGCAAATGAATGTGTTTTTTTTTGTTGTGTTTTACTGTGAGTACAGGTCACTTAAGTTCCAGCTCAGGGTGGAAATCGACTACAGTAGCTTTGAGTGGCAAGTGATTTGAAGTGAGCGACATTGATGACTGACGCTAAAAAATTAAGAAAAAAGTTTTACCAGGGTAAAAGTTAATTAAGATGGAGACAGAATGTATTAAGTCAAGTAATTTTACACTATTATACCAATTAAGTTAATTGCCATGAGGGTATGAAGGTATTTGAAGAGGCCAGACCTAATTTAAGATGTTCACTGTATTAGGCAATGTTTCTGGCACAAAACAGCTTCAGACTGGCTATACCTTTACCTAGCTAACTATCTTAATGGTCCCTTCAGTTTGCACCTTTAGCATGGTAGTTTCAACTACCACCAGCACTGGCTAAGGGTTAAGAAAAGTTAGATCCCAGATATGTTCTCAGAAGTTGGGTATAATAGGAACATATTTTTCTCGAACATAAACTGCTAAAAAATCTTTTCACAAAATTTCAATACAAATTCTGTTAACTTTTTCCCCCCAAGGAATCTTCAGATAATTGTTAAAGTTAAACCAATTAACATTTCAAAGGACAAACTAAAAGTGAAAAAAAAAATGACAGATCAAGATAATTCACCACTCTGTTGTTGTTTGTTTTTTTCTTCTGGCATTCTGTCATCATGGTTTCAAATTAGAAGTTAATCAGTAGTAAGAATAAAGCTAGCTGTTATCTTGATTATTAAATAGCATCTATATGAAAGTGAGGCTCATTTTTAAAGCTAAAAGCATCTACAGCTTGTATTTATGCAAATCTTGTATAGTAGTTTTGAAAATGTGTCAGTTCAATCATTAACCGATACATTCAAAGAGTGTTATCTGGATTGCAGGTATAAGTTACCCACACTTCAGGGGTTGCACTGTACGTCAGGGATAAAAAAAGAGCATGCTGTTTTCTTCTGGGGTTTACTTATTTTGTCAACAAGGAAAGAGATAATGACAGAAAAGTGATTTTCAGATGCTAGTTCATTGGTTACATTTATCTGGGGGTTTCATATTGTGATGACAGAGAACATATTTTTATTTTTGTCCATGATACAAAAAAGAAAGAACAACAAGACACTTGGCAATCTGATTCATACTCTGTGTTTCGATGCCATTTCTACTACTTATAAGGCTGGTTAAAACATATTCATTCAAGTTTGATTGTGAATATCACACATGACAGTATTGAACAGGTTTTTCACCACAATTAGATTAAACCATACTCGAAATTTACAATTAGCACACTTTACATCTCATCATTTATTATTTTGGTAGAAGTTCATTGATTTTTGCATAAAAGAAAATCAAGATATGTCAGTACTGCAGTAATTCAAGACTTCCAATACCCAGCCCCCTTGCCTTGTAATATATAGGATATCAAAAAGAAGGAAGTTTGATGATTCTTGTAAACCAAGATCATACATACTTTGTTTAAGTCACTGAGTTATGACAAACTTGCATGGAACCATTCAAACACAATAGGTAAATAAAAGCATGAAAAAAAATTCAAACAGATTGGAAAAACAGGGTAATAAAGAAAGAAGAAAAGTTGTTTGTAGTGGAAGAACATCAAGAAATAAGACAACTATGCATGCATGTAATATAATACAACCAAACCAATCCTGTTTATATCCAAACAAATCAAGTCAACAATTTACCCTTGTTTTTGGTTTGCTGATTCTAATGATTTACTCATATTCAAAGAAGATTTTTTCCTCTGTCTGTAATTGTGGTCAAACATAATAAATGAAAATGACAAATTCAACTAAGGAATTTTCTTTATAATTAATATGTGAAAAAATTGCAGCTTAAACAATAACCAACATGGCTGCATGTAATCTCAAGCTCTTAATATAAAAGTAACAAAATGGATTTTTTTTTGTAACAATGAATCAGTACATGTAATTATCATTAACACATATTTTATATTATGTTACTTCTCATTATTTTAAAGAGTTTAAATCATAGAAATTTTATCAAAATAGGTAAATATATTCTAGTGTGATGACATAATGCCAACATTAAAGTTTCCTTTGTTTTCCTTTATCTTTTCAAATTCATTTCTAAAACAAGAGCACCACATGCGTTACTTAAACGCTCCCCTGCTAAAAAGTTAAGTTAAAAAAGAGGCATAACTACAAAAAAATATTGCTTTCACAATTATGCCCCTTGTCTAAAAACTGCACCTTGTTTTGATAAGCAAGTATTCCAAAGTTTCATGTTGCTATGTTTGAAAAATGGGCTACATTACAGTTTTTGCACATGGACAATGATGACGTTGACACAGCAGTGATCAAGTCTTGTGAAGCATTCAGATCAGTTGCTCAATAAGTAAAATTTTAAATAAGTTTAAGAACTTTATCAAAATACATACTTGACTAACGTCCCCATAGCACCAGCTTTTTTAATTTTTTCATCTTTGGTTTGTTTGATAGAAGTATAACTGACGGGTCTATGTAACTGTGCCGTTTTATTTAACGGAACAATCTGTCCGGACGTAGCACGTTTTGCTGCTTCTTCTACCATGGTTCGTTCATGCGCCTGTCTGTATGCATACTGTTTGAGATCCCCATCCTCGTCCCAATCATCATCACTAGAACTTGATCCGTCTGAAATAAATACTTACGCATTTAAAAATAATATTGTCATGTGCAGTATGACAACAGATCTATTTATAATGTTTCAGTACCTCTCGTTGCTTTAAGACTCTAGAGCACATCACAGAATTTGTTGTAAATTTAACTGAAAGAATAGCACTAATAAAACCTCTAAATATCAAACCAGTGAACAAAGGTCACCTGAAGGAGAGACCAAACATGGTCTTTATTGACAAGTGGCCTTTATTTGGAGGTTTATTATAATGTTCTATTTAACGAATGAAGGGTTGTTGAGGAGTGGCCTTTATTTACAAGATGACCTTTATTCAAAGGTGGTCTTTAATGCAGGTTTAACTGTATCTAATGACTAGATATCAATTAGTGTTCACATCCTGCTTTTGTATCCTAATAAGGAATATTATTACAATATTAATCACTTGTCATAATTCATTAGGATTTTTCTTTTTAACTGTTATCCAGAAAATATTCTCTAGTACATTAAATCCCCAAACCTCACACTCATAACGAAATGATTCTGAAAAACAAAGCTTGCATATTATCAAACAATATATCAAAATCTTAAGAAATTGACACACAGTGATTTATATATAAATATGAGTGTGTGATTTTTTTGTGAAGAGAACAAGCAATGTGAAAAACAGTGACATACTAAAACACAGCAAATATAATGTGCCCTTAGCTTGCATCTATAAAATCTAAATAAATTCTCTCATATACTCCTCTCTCCAAATTACCAGTACCAAAATAGAATACTTAAATAACATGTACTACCAACAAGGGGTTAAAACCTGACAAAACCATTTTTTTTTTTGGTTTTTGGTGTTTTTTGTTGTTTTTTGCCAATCTTGAAAATTGCCCTATAAACATTGACAAATCAGTGAGGAAATTTAATACCTAAACCTAAACAAGTGTCAAAAGTTCATCAGTTATAGCTTTAAAAAATTTTGATGGATGAAATCTTATATGAGAGATAATTTTCTCTACGACTTTCTGGCGCCTGAACAAAAATTAACAATCAAGGTATAATGCATTTTCTTCCCGTTTCTTTTTTGACAGCTCCTTTTCATCAATAATAAACTGATGTGCACTGGGAATAAATCATGACACAAGTTTCGGAAATGTTAGTTCGGAATTTGGCATGTACATAAAAAACACACAGAGAAGTGCAATTTCACTTTCACCAGCCATTTCTTTATACACAGCACCAGTAATCTGCCACTGCGGCATGTCACACATTGAGGAAAAGTGGCATGTCACACAATAAGGAATAGTGGCATGTCACATAAAAAGGAACAGTGCTGTGTCACACATTGTACCTAGATCATCATCATTTTGTTCATCATTGACTAGATTTTCAGACATTTCTTCGACTGGTTCCTCCTCTATTGGAAACTGTTGTGAGGCAAGCCGGGCAGAATGTGCCTGTATACTGGCATGTGCGGAACGTCGTAAACCGGTCTTTAACCTCTGAGGCATGCCGGCTGAAACATGATCTTGGGTTACAAACATGCAACGTGACTGACTAGTAAAAGTCGGGAGTCTTAACAACATTTACAGAACATTCCATATAAACAAAATCTTCAATTTTAACAATTCTTATGAACAAGACAAGACAATGTTATAGCAAAAAGCTGCTGTACAAAATATAATTGTCAAACAAATTATTTTGCAGGTAAATTCAATTTCAATTTAATGATATATTTCTGATTTTGGCATGTTTTTACTAATGGAAAGGCAACGAATATGGAAAAGAAAAATCACATATCTTGTTGCTAAAAAATGTTATCAAGGTTTGAAAAACAAATGTCTTTGTATGATTTTTCAAGCAGCTTAATATATTATTATTAAAAACGGCAAATTCATTGTACAATACTTTAAAAACCTATCAAAATGGCGTATGCATAAGTATGATGTTTATTTACTTTTCACCAATATTTTTTTTTATTTTTTAATTCTGTGTACCATAATTGAAAGATATCTACTCCTATTAAAGTGACATTATGCTCAGGTGAAAGTCTAAATAAAATAAGATTTTGCCATAATTGTTTTTAATTTTACAGTTTAGTTCATGTGTAAATCAATAACCCATTTGACTTTAAATATCCTATGGTATTCAATTAAAAGAAAAAGAAAGTGGCAGTCTTACGATATTTCAGGCAGTTGTTATATTTTATCATGAACATTTTTCATTACCAATTTATCATACCTTAGGTCAATAACCATTATAATAGTCATTTAAAGTTCTTTAAATATAAAGCTAACTTAGCTCAATTTGGCAGCAAAAAAATGAGCATAATGTCACTTTAACTTTCATATTAAAATAAACAGGTTGTAATAATCATGATTAAATCATAATGAAAGTAAAACCACCAACTACATGTAATTCAAAATATTTCTTATATATTTAGAATAAAAAACAACCCACTATATCTATCACATCTAAAAATATAACAGGAGCTAACGCTCATCTGTTAAGGGCAACAACTATAATTAACCCAATTTAGGAAAGTTAAAAAGGGGCATAACTTTAGAAATATGGCATTCAAAAGTATGCCCCTTGTCTAAATAAGCAAGTTTCATGTTTTTAGCTTTAAAAATGTTTGAACCATTGGCTACATTAAAGTATTTTTGCATGACTTCAATGATGACAGCAACAATGCAGCGATCATAATAGCTCAAACAGACAAGCTAAAAAACTACACCCAAAAGAAACAAGCTGATAGTAATACAATAAAATAGTAATACAATAAAATCTGTATAAATAAAGAAAGAATGACACTTCATCCATCTAAGATACACAGCAAACAGGTTTACATAATAAATAAAGTAAAAAGTATTGTCTGCACATGATGTGATAAAAGCTCTTCAGCTTGATTTAAACAGTCTCCAAGGACCATGCAATAATGTGCATTATACCTTTATTACTTGATTTAATGCACATTCAACTACCACTACATCCATGTAATATTTTACTTAATGCACAAAAAAAACAAACAAAAAAACATTTAGCAAAATTAAAGTTACAAATTGGTACAAGTCGAGGTAATATACATGTAGCAAAATTTATTTTAGAGATACCGGTACAGAAATCTGTTTACTGTTACTGAACAGGCTTTGTTAACTGGATTAAATGTGATAACTGGGATATGAAAACATAGAATATAAGAATGGCAGCGTGGATGGGCAGAATAGTCTGAGACCAGAAATAGGTTAAATGCGAAATGTTAAAATTTAACCTTTAACTTGCTCAATTTCTAAAATAGACTTGTCCAACTTTCATTTTCAGAACTGTCCATTATCAATATTAGGGATATCAGGATTAATCAGCTGACAGTAAAGAGCCTGGTTAGACTAATGTACAGACTGGTCAGGCTTCATACTGGTGGTGGAAGCTAATTATTTTCAGTTCCGGCAAGGCACGGATCAAAACTTGTAAACATTTCACAAATAAACTGATAATAAATTCACATGTGAATATGCAGACAATACTGGTCATATCAGAAGGCTTAGAATATGTCTACAGATATGATGTAAAAATCTTAATAGTATAGTGCTTGCTTTATACCGGATTTGCTGTGCTGATTTTGAAGACGTAATGCTGGAAGTGGCGACGGTTCACCTGTTGGGTCACTGTATTGCCGTACCAATCGTCTACGTGATCTCTCTATGATAATATTATTTAGGAATAATGTATACCATAAATTAATATAGTATCTATACATAAGGTATCAAGATCTTATGCAAAGCATGTGCAAATAATAATGTTTAAAAAAATCATGAAATCAACACATATATCTTTTAAATTATTATAATCTTAATATTATACCTATAAATTTTATCACTTAAATACTTGAAAATCACCAAGTACTCATGTGATTAAACGGATAAAAAAAATCTGCATTATGTAAGGAGACAAATATGATAACATATTGCCAGACTATTTTTCATCATTGGTTCCCATCTTCCTTGTGCATTGGAAATGGGAACCAATCCTACTAAGGTACATTAAAATTATGTACCTTTGTTAAAATTACGTTTTAATGATTCATTCATGAACTTTGATTCTTTGTCATTATATTTTTTTATTACATGCTTTTCGGTGGTTTATAGAAATATATCGGTGAAATAAAACTGGTAATTTCACTGTTTGAAACAGTGAAATTACCACTTTGATAATTTCACTGTTTTGAATTTAAGCCCCTTACGTTGTTTGAGTGAAATACCAGCGTTCACAGTACTGGGTCAATCTCCTACGCAGTGACCTCCCGTTATCAGTACGGAGATCTCTGCCATCACAAACATTGAAGTATCAATATTTTGATATTTATAGTTTTTAGCTTTTTAATTTATTTTTCATTATTTTGTATATTTTTGATAATTTTTTGATAAAATATAACGGACGTAGGTACAAAAAGTTAAAAATAAAACAGAAAGAGAAAAATGACGTTAGATTTTCTATGTAACGGTCGATATTTACATTTGAATTTCGACGTTACGTCATGTGACTTTCATCATCATGTGACATCTGTGAAGGCAGTGATTACAATTCTGCCAAGGGAGGTAATCACTGTGAGGAGTTTGAGTACTGGGTACCAACTTAATGACGTGACGTCGTAAATGACGTCACGTTGTATTATTATTTGGCGCGCTTTTCATTCAGTTTTTGGTTTAATGTCTTTTTAAAACGTTTCTTTGCATATAATAAAAAGAAAATTTTTTTAGTTTAGTGTAAGATCGAAATATATTTCACCTTGTGAACACCAAAAGTCCATATTTCACTCGTGGCTGCGCCACTCGTGAAATATACCTTTTGGTGCTCACTCGGTGAAATATATTCCGATCTTACACTGAACTGAACAAATATCCTCTATGTCTCTAAAAAACTAATCAAAGTTCATTAAGTTGAAACTCTCTTTGTTATAAATTTTTTAGGTATATAATAAAAGGATAATTATGTTGTAGTAGATTTTTGAGACCATAGTTTTGCTTCTCCCAGAGTGAGAAAATTGATACCTTGCCTTGGTCTTATAAGATTTATAAGATATCAATTTTCCAACGCTGTTCTCAGCAAAATACAAAGCTTCAGAAAGATACTATAACATAATATTACATATGTATCAAGATTTAAGAGAACACATATCTTTATATTTAATGTGGGTGCAACATATATCTACAATTACTTAATGTGGATACAACACAAATCTTATTTTCAAAATGTATCAATGAACATGCAACACAAATTATGTAAATGATGAATTCACAGCAAGTGACAATAACACGTATGTAGTTAATAACACAAATATCTACCACAAGACAAATCAACAAAATATAACATTTCCCAAGATTTGAAATAAACAGAAACAAAATAAGAGTAATTTATTTCTTGGTTACATGTGTATATTGCTTCAAAAGTCAAGTATTTATGCATATACATTGTGTATACACAAGCCAAGTTTTATATATTGTTCAATTGAAACCTGAAAGAGCAAAACAGAATTCCTTTGATGTTATTAAAGAGACTATACTGACTATATAATGATAATACAAATTTACACTTTATATATTGTTTTTTATATACACAATGTATTGGTTAATCTGACACAAGAAATATCTTCAAGTTTATTATTCTTTTCCATGAGCTTCACTAATAAAACAACTAAAACATATGGTACAAGAAACAATATTTACTTCTCCCCTACGATTCTTTTATTCTACTTTATTGACTTGCATTGACAACCGGAAATTTCCACATAATTTCTAATATATATTAAGCCGTTCTCTGTCAACATTGACATCAATTTTAGAATTGTTTACAGTAATACATTATGTCGCCTGTCCGAAACAGCGTACAAATATTGAGCAAAATAAAGAGTGAACGCATAAATGAAAGGAAATTGCCAATTGTCAACACAGGTCCACTTGTTTAATTGCATACTCACTTCCATTCAGCAGTTTCCCCGAAGATTTGGCTTCAATCATTTCTCGCAAGAATTTCAAGATTTCATTAGTTCCCTTTTCAATAATGCTTTGTGGAGGAAAGTCAAGTGGATTATTAGATATGTTGAGACCATGCAGAGTTTTAATCAAACCTGAAATATTAGATAAATATGACACTGAAAAACAGCAAATGGTAGATTTATTGAAAAGTGCATGTGTTTAATAAGTGGGGTAAAATATCCACCCATTGGTTCAAAGCTACTCATTTTGTTATTGGAGAAAATACTTTAAAAAGTTCATACATGTGGTTTGAATATAAAATAAAATTGAGAGTATTCAAATTTTTCTATAAATACAGGATTTTTTTTTTCATTGAGTGGTATGAAATATGATAATTTTCATACCACAAGATCCTGTATTTATAGAAAAAACTTAAATTTTCTGTTTGTTTCTCTTTTTTGACATTACACTTTGAAATACTTCCCAAAAAAGTTTGCCTATTGGCTGAATTTAGAAGAAAGTATTCCGGCAAGACATCTGTGAAAATACAGAATATATATTTCACTGCAGTGAAAAATAAATTTTTACAGTGAAATTACTGAAAATCAAAATAAGCATTTTATTTATAAGTATGTTTTTACAGTGAAATTACTGAAAATTAAAATAAGCATTTTATTTATACATATATAATAAAAGAAATTATTTGCCAATTCAATGACAATATAATTATGTACACCATTACACTGTTAAAAATCTTGTCCTAGTTTCTGTATGGAACAATTCATAAATTATTAGCATAACCCTTTTCACACAAAATATCTTAAATGGACTTGTCCATCTTTTATTCTGGACAAAACCATTCAGTGTTTATAGGGAAATTTTCATAACATGTACTGAGGAAATAGGGAACAGTGCAGACCATGATCAGATGGTGTGGATGTACAGGCTGATCTTGGTCTGCTCTGGTCACATGAGTAGATTCAATCACCAACTTAAAACAGTTTAAGGAATTTCAGAATAAAACATTAAATCTGAATATCCAACAACACTGCTACACTGACTTTATACTGGTAGCTGAGGCAATTCATAATTCAAAGGGTCGATCTAAGATAAACTGTTAAATATCAATCAATGAATTTTATTGATTTTCCTTCCACAATAACACAATTTCTTTCATGATTATTTATCTTTCTTCAAAACTAAATTTGTGACAGATGACTTTCTTTAACTCTTTTATAACAAAAGGATGGCTTTGTTATTTTTGCATGCAGTTTATGACTAACATAATTGTGTATTTACAAATGATAAAATATGAGCCGCGTCACGACAAAACCAACATAATGGGTTTGCGACCAGCATGGATCCAGACCAGCCTGCGCATCCGCGCAGTCTGATCAGGATCCATGCTGTTCGCTTATCAACTCTATTACAAGTAGAGAAACTGATAGCGAACAGCATGGATCCTGATCAGACTGTGCGGATGCGCAGGCTGGTCTGGATCCATGCTGGTCGCAAACCTATTATGTTGGTTTTGTCATGACACGGCTCATATCATTTTGAGCATATATATTGTATAACTGAATTTTTGAAAGTAAATTTGTAAAATATAACATAAAGACTGAAATGTCATGATTTTCACGACTCAAAAAATATAATTCATTATAAATGTAAATTGCCATGTTATAAATGATATAAATAACGCTGAACAATGAATACTGACAGACTGTTATTTATTAAAACCTAAGTAATGTAAGCAAAATCATTCTTTCTATAAGTCACTAAAATTATAACAAATTTTAATCTTATAAAGATAAATCATTTTGTCATTTAGTCACTAATATTATAACAAATAAGGCTCCCACGTTTACAATTTTTTGTAAACGTTTACACGACTGCTAAGAACCGAAACGATACCGTTTAAACGGTGGTACCTCTATGTACTATACACACCATGTATTTGAGTCGCCAAATGATGTCTTTCTTTCTATTTTTAATACATGTACAAATAAAGAATGTGCAAGGCTCATCACGATTGAGTCAGCACACATTTTTTGCATTGTAACCCCAATTTTTACCAAAAATGTATTATGTCACGAGTAATTTTGCACGGTAATGCTGTGTTGAGGGTTGTAAACACCCATTTTCCGTTTGTTTACTTTGGAATAAACCACTAGAATTGATAAAATCCATGATTACAGGCAATGATTAAGAAATTTTGTAAGACAATATGGTCATTTCGATTAAACGGTAAACAATATTGTAAACGTTTATGAATGAAAATCGAAATGAATCAGTTTAAACGTGTAATTGTGGGGGCCTTTATAACAAATTTAAGTTTAACTCTCATAAAAATAAACCACTCTGTCTATTAGCCACTAATATAATAACAAATTTTATTATTATATTGAAGTCAATGCTACAGAGAATTATTTTCTTCAAAAATTGCTTTTGCCTACCAAAAACTTTTTATATTAAAAAAGAGGCTAAAATATATGTACAAACCTAATTCTAAAGGTAATGTACGAAGATTGTTCCCTTCTAATAAAAGATTTCTAAGATTTTGATGTCGACCAGTGTATACACTTGGAAGCCTAACAATGTAGTTCCTTCTCAGATCCAACCACTTTAAATTTGGTAGTTTATCAAACAATTCATCAGGTATTGTGCTCAGTTCATTGCCTTCCATGTATAGGTACTGAAAATTTAATGTAACATATAGTTATATGTGTTTATTGCATACAAAACAGGTAAAAAAAAACCATACATTTATATGAAAAATACTGTTAAAAAATAAAAAAATGTCAAAATATTAGGGGAGAAGTTATACTGTTAAAAAATAAAAATGTCAAAATGTTAGGGGAGAAGCTGTGTAAGTGGCTAGGCAGCTCAGTTGGTAAAACCGCCAAATGGTATTTCGAGGGTCCCAGGTTTGAGTCCCAGTTAGGCTGGAAATTCTTTCTCACCCTGTGACATTTGTGCCCAATTGGAGGACCGTAACCACATTTAGCTCAGTTTTCATTGCTGTATATAAATCCTGAGTTGAATTTTTTGCATTTCAATGAAGTGGGGAATACCTCAGTTATAGGAGCCATGGACTGGTATTCTGAGGCACATTTTCTCCGCTAATAGTGAACAGTTCTGAACAGTGACATACCCCCCTTCCCTGTATCATTTTGTTGTTGTATTTGTATCCTGGTTTCATCTTGTTTCCATCTATTTGGTTAATAGGACCCCATTGGAAATAAGCACACCAGCTTAATGGCGATATCCTTGCAACCATAGACCAGTCACTCTTAACAAAACATGATTGTATTGAAATTTTATTATTAATTTCTTAGTGTATACTATACCTATATAAAGGCTGGTACTTTTAGTCTGCCCATATATTATTAGTTATTAAGATCGTTGACAGGTTATATGGCCCTATATAAACGGCTATTTGTAAATATAACCCGAGCCGTAAGGCGAGGGTTATATTGCAAACAGCTGTTTATATACAGCCATATAACCTGTCAACAATCTTTATAACGAATTTATAATACAGCAAGCATCAATTTTAGAGAAGAAAGTAAGATTTCTTCATGAATTGACAACAGCCTTGTACATAAATCTATATAAACGTCATGATTATCCAATGAAAAATGACTTTACAAACGCGCAGTATTATAAAAATATCTTAACATCTATGTTAAACTAGATAGACTTTATATATCATGTCAGTAATTTTAAACAATATTCTGTGCAAGTTATTAAGTCTCTGACTTGTTTAGTCATAATTTTAACTGTGATTTTAAAATTAAATAATTTTATCCAATGCTTTATCTCAGATTCAGTCCTTAATTTATTTCATTTAATTTATTACTTATATGAAATGACATTTTAATTTGCTAAACTGTTTTATATGGGGAAGTCAAAGGCCGGGACCACAAAGCTGGCCCGGGCTTTGGCTTGCATGACTATAGACTACACAATGTCATGTATATTGAAAAGAAAATCAAATAAAAAACAGAAGAATATATAGACTTCTATACCTATCAATGAAATTGTCAGTGTGAGTTCAAGTCGGGCGCCGCCATTTTCAATGTAACTCAATGATAATAGGCGGGGTATTCCAATAACGAACAATCGCAACTTTTTGGATGAATAATCCAAGTGAAAACAGAAGCGGTGCATAAAATAACGAATGACACCTGTTAAAAACGGAAAAATGAACTTTTTTTAACCGACTTCCCCGTTCAATAGGCTTTGCCTCATTCCATATTAGATGTATATCCTTTATGAAACTGTGATCTATGTTGTAGTAAAATTAAAATAAATAACTGGACGAAATGATATACTCAACATCACTAATTCCGCGTCATCACTATCTCACGGTAATGGCATATTTTCATGTGACAAGTGTTAAAATTGGTCAGAATTGACATATTTTATTCAAACACCTGAACAACAAAGTTTTTGTGCAAAATAATTTAAATTTATAGATTTTTTACGTAAAACTGAACAACATTTTACAAACTTCTGCAAAAAACAACAATAGTCCATTAAATTTGTGCATACGTCTGAAACAATCATCATTTTCTAAATGTTCTTGTTTGTTGAAGGAAAAAATTTTGAGTTACAATGTAAAGATACTTTTAATATTTAAAATTATGCAAAATAACATAAAGAAATTTTAACTGAAACATGAAAAAACTGAAATAAAACACCATTACCGCGAGCTAAATGATAACATACTGTTTTCAAAATGGCCGACACACGGTCTACATCTGACATATTAAAACTTATTTTGATTGAATATATTGTTGCTTCCTTGTGTCATATAGCAGAATAATGACTAAATGATACAGTTTATGACAGTTTTTGTAGTGTAAGTTTATTGTTTGTGTTCTTTACTGTTTTAAAGTGTTAAGTACCGTGAACTAAGCAGCTAAGAGGAGCACAGTATACATAAAATGATAATATCATATTCTTATTAAAGAATATTGTCTAAATGACACAATAAGTAAACTTAATGTCTGTGGTACAAAACCCAGACTACACCTGAGAGTTTTATGGTACACAATATATTTATTAACAAAATTACCTCTATCTGTGGCATTTCCAAAATTTCTGACGGAATTTGTCTCATTTTCTTGTTGCTGAGGTCTAGTGTATTGGTCCCGAGTGCAGCAGCCTCTTCAATCAACCGTAGAATGGTTTCTTCCTGTTTCTTCGTTTTTGCAATTCCCCTTTCCGTTGGTGAATCTGCACCAGAAGGACAGGGTGAAACATTATTAAGTCTTTCAAGCTCGCTTGATGTAGAATCTCCATTCTCAGAACGTGCAATTTCTAGCGACTCATCTGCATCCTGCATGTTTGTCATGCTGGCGGCTTCAGGCAAAAGGATATATAATTGGTCAATTTGTGTTGGTAAAGATTATTTTTGTGTTGACAATTTTTCTATATCAAAACAAGACTAAAACAAACAAAAAATCTAATTTTTTTCGTTTTAGCGAATGTAAGTCGCCATCTTTCAAAATGGCCGATAAACAACCCAATCACCCAGGTGATATTGATCACATGGTAGAATTACTCCAATCAAACTGTTGCGGGAAAATTAAGTCACGCGCACCTGTCATATTCAGCAGCCAGGGTCAGAGCACTCTTGGGTGACACAGAGTAATTAAAATTTAATTGAAAAGCAGGTAGTATCATTTATTGGTGCAATTTGAGCTTTTAGATAGTTTTCAGTATTGTGTCTTTTTGGTTAAGAATGAAATTGCACGACTTGAACTTAAATAAGCATGCAATTTCAACTGAAATAATGTTATCTATCTTATTACATACAGTCATGTCTTGGGTGACACAGAGTAGAGTGGTTGGACCAATGCTCGGCGCATACCAATGCTCGGCGTCAAAAAATATTTTTTTAGAATATCTGAAAATGTCTCGAGTTATCTCTGATTTAGGTCACTGGTGCTTTTATTTACATCTTTCACCATTTTATCCTGGTGTGGTTCACTGCTGGTAAAGTCACGTGACAATGCTAATAGCAGACGAACAACCGTATGTAATCCCCAACATATAAATTATTAAAATCTTATAGCACTAGAGTTCTGGGGCTGTAAAATTTAAACTAAAAGTTGGGTACTTGTTAATGTATGAACCTAATTTGGTTGTTACAATTTATTCAATATGTTTTCCTCATAAGATAAAAAGAGATTTTATTCGAAAAACAATCCTGCATCATGTAGTATTGTACGCCGAGCTATGGTACAATTTCACGCAAACCACTCTTGTTTATCCGGACTATCTATAGCTCCAGCGATGCACATCATTATGCGATTAGCGAATTTTACACAATGGCTATTTCAAACAATATCATCGGTCTTGAAAATGGACATATAACATTGAGGTTTGTTGACGTTGATTTGAATTTGCCATATCAAATATAGTATTTTTACGCCGAGCGTTGGTCCACCCACTCTAATTAAAATTTAATTGAAAAGCAGGTAGTATCATTTATTGGTGCAATTTGAGCTTTTAGAAAGTTTTAAGTATTGTTTCATTTTGGTTTAGAATGAAATTGCACGACTGGAACTTAAGCATGCAATTTCAACTGAAATAATGTTATCTATCTTATTACATACAGTCATGTCTTGGGTGACACAGAGTAATTAAAATTTAATTGAAAAGCAGGTAGTATCATTTATTGGTGCAATTTGAGCTTTTAGAAAGTTTTAAGTATTGTTTCATTTTGGTTTAGAATGAAATTGCACGACTGGAACTTAAGCATGCAATTTCAACTGAAATAATGTTATCTATCTTATTACATTGTACTAGTAACAGTACATCTGTATATGATGTATTATTACATATATATTATAATTTTTTAGAATTTGCATGGTTGGAACAGACAAGACTTGCATGCTTTAGGAGCACATGCATTACCAATTCTATGATATTGTAAACAGGGCTATGTTAGGCAAATCTTTAGAAACATAAATAAGCAAATATTATTACTTAATTAAGAATTACATGTATGTTGACAACTTTCCCACACTCATATTTAGATGATTTTTATAGTTCCATCAGTAGAGCAATGTGAAAGTTTGGACAGTAAGAATTTACGACTGTTGGAAAATTCACATCTGTAGCTGATAATTAAAGATCCAGGAGGTAATGAAGTGTTTAAAATGTGGTTATACACTGTATTAAGTCAAAATATATTGACATGCCAAAGCTACTAGATAATGAGACATTTTTTCTTCTGGGTCAGAATCTCGCTTTTTACAGGGGAGATATTGCCCATACACAAATTAGCACATCTCGATGCGAAGTACAATTACATGTAGTTGTACTAAATTTTTATTATGTCTAAGTAATAAGTCATAAACTATTATCTTAGGCCTTTCATAGAGCTGTCTCCAGCCAAAGAAGGGTTTCAAAATTCTACCTAAGATCATATTTAGGACCAGCTTTGAGTGACATCATGTATGTTTTGGTTCTTGCTAGTTGTTACACACTTCTAATTAGTGGCCGTCAGGTATTATAATAATGAACTAAGACATAATATAATGGGACAAGTAAAGTCATCTTATTTTGGTATCAAATTGAGATCTTGAAATCGTTAAGCGTAGTGTTAATATACTGTTTTTATAAAACATATTTACATAAATTTCATAACTGTTCAGACTGTCAAAATATTACCACAGCCCATTTTTTTTTAGGATCTGCATCAGTAAGTTGTTATTGTTGGACCACAATGTTTTAAATTTCAGGTTCCTGTATAACTTATTAATGTCACTCAATCAATTATAATATTTTTCTTTATTACACCATAAGTTTGGGAATCTGTTCACTAAAGTATTAATATTATATGAAGCATTTCAACTGAACTATTGATTGTGTCAGCATGATAATTAATAAATAATCAACTATTATTCAGATTCAGTAGAAATCAGTTTAAGGTCATTTTAAATTACTTTAACCTTTTGACTTTGAAAGTTTGCAAAAGGAAATTGCATAATGATACATGTATTTTACCATAAAGTACACTGTATATAAATGTTCTTTCCTCACCCACCTTTAATATTGTGACCTTATCCTTACAAGGGCACCTTTTTTTACCTTACCTCTAATTTTTCTCAATGCATGCCCTTATCTTAGATTATTACTTAATTATTAAACTTCATCATAGATTGCTCCAGTATACAGTCCGACCCCGGTTATTCGACAACCCTTTATTCGAATACCCGGCATTATCCGAAGTAGATCGGCGGTCCCGTTTTTATCTCTATATAAATCAATATAAATACGAGCGTATTATTCGAATTGCATTATCCGAATACCTCCTATTTTTTGAAGTAAAATTTCGGTCCCGATTTAAAAATTTACTATTATTCGAAGCCAGCCTAATTATTATTCGAAGCCAGACTAATTGGCGCAGATCCACTCGCTGACCGGCAGACTTGTGAAAAATATTAACAGTCATGCGTGTATTTAGACAATCATGATAATAACTCTTTGTGTGTTCTTTAATCAACTTTAATTACCAAAAAGGAAAAGCAATGCACCGTGTCCGATTTTGTTACTGTTATTGCGTTGAAGATGACAGCAATAATTTTCATACATACCTTATATGTAAATTTGTCAAAACATCCAAAACATTTTTTCATTAATTGTAACACTACATAGAGAGCCTTTATCCTAATCCAAAATACCAGAGTTTAGCTGTAAATACCATAGTGACAACACGGCCATTATCAAGGCTTTGCGCGAAACGAAACTATACATAATGTAGAAATAAAATGCAAGTATTTATGTCTTCAATGTCAATACAATCATTTTTACGCATCTTTTCTTTAATATTTATTTTTCTCCATTGATATCAGGAAGTAAGTGTGTTGTAAAAGGTAGTTTTGCTATGATTGGTCAAAGTGGAGTAGTTTTCGTCTATCACAATATTCCGATTTCGATTATTCGAACCCATCGATTATTCGAAGTAAATTTTAAGTCCCAGGCACTTTGAATAAACGGGGTTGGACTGTGTAGTCAAACCCGTGTTTAACACCTCCTCCAAATAATGATCATGCTGTAAAGAAAGGCCACTATTCAACAACCCTTCATTGACACATAGTAAAAAAATAACCTTCAAATATAGACATTTGTTTATAAAGAGTCTTCAGTTATTCCTTTGGATGTCTTTTGTTCACAGGTTTGTCTGTACATTAACTATTGCATTAAACAAATTCATCACTTTTTGTTATGTTCTTTAACATTTGAAAAACATGAAACAAGTTTTATTTTTATTGGATTATTTCTGACGGTTATATCGGCTATACACGACTGCAGTCAATTTATGAAGTATTTTCTTTTTTCTCTATTCAAGAAGTTTGCAGTGTTATAGATTACTGTACAATGTAGTTATAAAGATTCTTTTAGCAGGTTATATAACCATATATAACTGGTTGCTTGCAATATGACCATTGACTAGTGGCTCAGGATGCAAATAACTGTTTATATAGGGCTATATAACCTGTCAAAAATCTTATGCTTAGGACTGATGATATACATGTCTAAGAAACTTAATTAATATTGTTTTGTGTCTTTAATAAAGGTAATGAATTCATGTATTTCAAGCTTACTTCAGACCCAAAACTAACAATAACTTCCATAGAAACTTGCATGTTCTCAGTTTTGGATTCTATGACAAATTTGAAGGTATTTAAATATTCATGCAACCTCAGACATTTATCTTTCAGTTAAAACAATGTATATCAAAATTTGAAAAAGACATTTCTTGCCCTCAGGTTCCATTGAATTTGTATGGGATGTATGTGGCTGAGTGGTGAAGGTCATTGAGTTCAGTTGTCTCTCACTGCTGTAGGTATCAGGCATGCAAGCGTCTTCGATTCCTTCATGTGAGAAAGCTAACCAGCTAGCTTGCGGAACGACTCAGTGGTTCTACTCGGGTGTATAATTGAGTATACATTTACAGTAAAGACACAATGTTCACATCGCAGCCCTTATTCATTTCCATGTTAACTTTGTATATTTATATAAGTTCATTTTCATTATTGTTATCATTTTGATTTATACTATTAATTTATGTACATCTCAATGTATACTAAATTTAATTTATTATACTTTGCCTTATTTTCATAAATTATTCAAATTAAATATTACCATTGAATACTAAATTGTTGAAATTGTAACTGTACTGTTACTTATAATTGTCATTGACTTGGTAATTAATTTCTTCTTCATTATGATATTATTTTACTACTAAACTGTCAATATCTTAATGGTCAATACTATTAAAATTTACTGTCTTTAAATAACCTGATATAGTAAAGACAAACTGTGAATGTACTTTATATAGTGTTTTATAATTAGAAAGTGGGGTGGGTTTATTGTTTTTTTGGATCCTAATTTACACAAGCATTGGAAAACTGTCGATAATCGCCCGTATTGTACAGGAAAATTTAGCCATAGATTGGGCCAAGTATTTGATTCTCAGCTGCAAAGTTTATCCGT